TTTTAAATATTAAATCCTCTAAAGCAGAAAATTGATAAAGTTCAAATTATCAGTAAAAAGTTATATTTTTTCCTAATGGATGTCACACTTGATTCTTATTTCATAAAATGGTATAATTATAGACACATTTAGGTTAGAGAAGACTTCTAAGATCATCACATCCAACCTGAGCTTAACCAAGAATGGCTGAGTCCAACACCTAACCTTGTCTCTAGGTGTCCTGTTTATGTATCTTTTAAACATCTCCAAGGACAATGACTCAATAATTTCCCTGGGAAGGGAATGCTCCAATGCTTGATAACCTTTCTGTGAAGAAGTTTTCCCTAATATCCAACCTAAACCTCTCCTGGTGCAACTGTGCAACTGAGGCCATTTCCTCTTGTTCTATCACTTGTTATTTGAGAGAAGAGACCAACCCCTACTTGGCTACAACCTCCTTTCAGGTAGTTGTAGAGAGCAATAAGGACACCCCAGAGCTGCCTTTTCTCCAGCCACTGGCCTTCTTAGTCACCCAGGCACACCCAGGCTCATGTCAACCAGGACATCCTGCTCGTTTTCCACCACTCCAGGGACTCTACTCACAGCCTGTAGCACTGCAGGGGACCATCATGACTCATGTGGAGGATCTGGCACTTTGCCTTGTTGAACCTCATACAATGGATAGAGTCTGTCCAGATCCTTCTGCAGTTCCTTCTACCCTCCAGCAGATAACACGCCCACCCCACTTGGTGTCCTCTGCAAACTGACTGGAAGTACACTTGATCCCCTCCTCCAGATCACCAATAAAGATGTTAAACAATACTGAGCCCTGGGGATCCCAACTTGTGACCAGCTCCCAGCTGGATGTAACTCCATTCACTAGCACTCTCTGGGCCCAGCCACCCAGCCAGATTTTAGCAAGTGATGGGTGCACCTCTCCAAGCCTTGGGCTGCCAGCTTTTCCAGGAGAATGCTGTGGGACGCAGAAACAAAAGCTTTACTGAAGTCCAGGTAGATAACATGCGCAGCCTTCCCCCATCCACCCAGTCTTGTAATAGAAGATCAGGCTGGTCAAGCAGGACCTGCCTTTCCTAAGCCCATGCTGGCTGTACCTGATCAGCTGGTTGTTCTGCATGTGCCACATGGTAGCACTCAGGATGATTGCTGGTCAAAGTCCCATTCAGCCTGACCTTGGATACTTCCAAAGATGGGGCATCATTTGCCTTTCTGCAAAAGCAGACACTGTAATATGAGATTAAAAATACATTTAAAGCCAAGCTTAATCTTGCTGAATAATGTGACCCTGAGTATTTCTGATTCCAAGTAAATTCACCCAGCTTCAGCCTTCCTGAAGCCCATGTTTAATGAAAAAGCTGTGTCAACTTAAAATAACACTGTGGCTGCTTTCAAGGTAGGGCCCTAGCAGCAGCTGGAAATTAAATTACTAAAGAAGGTTCAGAAAGACTTTCTTCTGATGACATGGTATTTTTCTTGCAGAGATTTAAAATCAATGACAGTTTAAAAGAAAGGTAAAATAACTGAGTTTTCCAAACTCTGCAAATTATATGGCACAAAAAGAGGAAAAAATTGACAGTGTCCAGCCAGCTGGGATCTTTTCCTTTCCTTCCTGCGCTTTTAGTGGAAACTTAATATAGAGAGATGTCTGATTACATCTCCCTGTTAGTAGTGGACTTTCTGGACTTATTCTACCACTTGGAAGACTTTTTGGTTGCACCATAATGACTAGTTATATAATTGCTTAAGAAAGCCTAAAGCACTTGCCTACAGTGTCATTCGTAGGTCAGTGATTGCTAATGGGATTCAGTCAGGCCCTCCTCCATGTCAGCAGTACACAGCTGTCCCAGGTAGGTAGTGATTATGTGTCATTAAAACTTGATTCTTGCTCACTGTTCTGTCAAAAACAAGGTTTTTGTGTTCAATCCATTTCTTAGTGGGCAGGTGTTACAAGCAAATTGGCATTAATTGGCAACATTGTTGGTGACCTCAGCAGAAAACTGAAGGTATGAAATGATCGAGAGCATAAAAGCTGTGATTACAGAGATGAGCTCTATTTTAGTGCTTTGGAGGAATGATGTGAAGAGTTTTCAAGATGAGCAGCAGCAGCTGTTTGGTGGAGAAATGCCTTGAAGGTCAGCCAGCTCACTACATTGGGTCCGACCAAAGAAACATCCAGCCAAAAGCTTGTTCCCAGAAGATGCCCTCAAGAGAATGCAAGAACAGAGGAAATATGTACAGTTATTTCTAGGGAATATTTCCTGCACCTCTGGAGACTTCTGACATAGATGCTTCCGGAACCAGTTTGTTATATAGACTAACACATTCATTCTCTGTTTTTATCCTACGTCTCTTACTGCTAATCAATACCCCTGCTTCTTATGTGAAAATGCCAAGTGAACCACTGTTTCTTAACCCCTTTCTCTGTTATTTATTTTTTTTACATATCTCAGTCATACAATTCCCTCAGCAGTTTCTTTTCCAGACCAATGAATCTTTGTTAATCTAATTGTTAAAAAACAATTCTGTTCAACATCTAAATTTCAAGATCGAAACTTTGAGTTGTAATCACCTGTTCATATCCCATTACAGTGTAGGAAAAGGTAATATTGTTTTTCTTCATGTCCATTGCTATACATTTATGTACTATTTTTTTAGCAGTTCTTTTATCTCTCATTCAGTATATTGAGCTCTCAGTATATTGAGCTTCTTCCACAGCCCTTTCTCTTGTTTTTTTACTTGCTTCCTTCTCATTTTCTTATTTTTATCCATGTGTTTTGAAGAGAATATATCAACAAGGAGTCTCAGATTGAATTGTTCATAGATTATAGGTTAAATAGAACAAAAGGAGCTGCTGGTTTTATGATAGTATTTTGTTTTGATGCAAGGTCTTAGAGACATACATATTCCCTGTTTTGTCCTTAAGAAGAAGAAGAGGGGTAATTCCAACTTTATCCTCTACCATAAACTGGTTGCTAGAGTATGGCTTCATAAGAAATACATATTTGAAACTTAGACTAGCTTGACCCCTTCATACCCTTTTGCTGTTCTTGGCCATTAATGTTCAGATCATGCAGTAGGGTTTCTGCAGATATAAGTAGTTTGGAACTGTGGGAAAAAAACAAATTACTCCTTCTAGTGTATTTTTCAAATATCAAATCTTTGAAATTGTCTGGAGAAGACCCATTTGCTTTAGGAGTTTGCAGCAGTTTTAACAATTCAGCATTTTGACATGAATATTTCTATGCTGCAGTTTCATAGCTTTGGGGTTAATAGATTTTTTGACCAAGTGATGTTGGCCAATTTTCCCCTTCAGTTCATTAACCTAATGAATAGCTGTGATGTACATTTTCTAAAATTCTAGCTTTTTCTTGCATTGAGATACTTTTTCTTTATGCTGATACCCTACTGAAGCATTTGATTGAAGTGTAAGGGACTCAAATGGAAATATTAAATTGCCTATGTGACCTACTCTTTTTTTTTTTTTTTGCTGCCAAATGCTCTTAAATTACCTAGAATATTACAGAATATTTATCAGGTTGTTCAATAACCTGATAAAAGAAGTAAAAGTAATAGTTCATAAGAAAAATATTTTTGTCTTTAAATTGTCTAGATGTATTTTGCATCTTGAGAATTTAGAGGGTGGGAACAATAGATGATGTTGTTGCAGGAATTTTTATGTTTCTTTTTTTTTCTCATTCTTTGATTCAGTGATCATAATCAAGTATTTATATTTGACTGCAACAAGCTACCTTCTGTTTTATTCCTAGACATTTTGGTTTCCACACAGACAATGTTAGATTATGTTGATCCTTTTCAAACTTCAGATTGCATGGGGTTCTATCAATTATTTTAGTTCATGCAGAATTCTGTAATATGTGTCAGATTCTTCATTGTGATACCAATAAATACTAATAAAATAACTCCAGCAATTTCATTACAAATTTTTCTTTTACTAGGAAATTATGCTTCTGTCATTAAGTCTCAGTCATCCTGTTAGAATTTGAAACTTACTATTTTGATTTATTTAAAGAAGTAAATAGATCAGCCCTTGTTGACTATAAGAAGGGGCTTTAGGGGAGGAAAAAAATCCAAAATCCTTATGAGCAAGAAAAAGAAATAGACAATTCCCAGAATGCTTTTTATTATGTGTAAGTTTTTATGGCTTTTGAACACCTGGCAGAACAGAACTGAATTTGGGTCATTCCGTGGTTTCTTTGCTTTCATAAATGCTACTCAGTGCTTATTTACAGCTCGTATAAAAATAACTAACTTTCAACTCTGATTTCTACTGGAAAGTTCTCCGCTCAGTACAGGATAAAAAATTTTGGTTCAGAAAGAGCACAAATGCCTAATTTTGACCTAAATGTGTATGTCTGTAAATCTTTCTCAGCCAACTTTGTGTAAATTTTACTGGTATCTTTATAAAAGAGTGAAATGCTCAACTCTTGCCTTTCTAGTAGAGGCGTTTGAAGAAAGACTTCAAAGATAAAATTTCAAAAGTCATCCATCTATAGTATGATAACACAGGAATTAGAATTTTAAATCTACTCTTAAATTATATAAGAGCACAATGTACAAATAAATGTTCTAGTGTAGTATTTAATTAGGATATTATTTATGTCCTTTTCTCTGATGATAGAAGGATGCAGAAGAGTTACACAGAACAAATCAATTTAAACTAAAAATGTATATTATACTGCATTTAGAATAAAATCATGGCATTTACGACTGAAAGCTCTTTACTTTCTAGTATCAGTTATTAATATTAACAAAAATTTAGATGTGTTTAATGTTAAAGTAATACTGAAATTGCACCAAGAGCAAAATATCAAGATGGGTAACATACGGGTTTTCATTTCTCTACCCCACTCTGAGTTTCTTGAATACTTTTATTGTGATGATTATTCACTTCTGAGACAAACAGAGCCAGAGATGCATATTCATGGGTTTTTCACTATTTTGTATTATAAGCTCTCCTACTGTTTCTCATTTATTCTGCACAGGCTCCATCATCACCTTCTTCACCCATAGCTAATGAACCAAAATACGAGAAGCGCTGGCTAGACACCTTATCAGTTCCTCTGTCGATGGCTCGAATCTCGAGGTACAAAACCGGAACAGATAAATTAAGGTTTGTAATCTGAAAGGGGAGGCACTGGGTTAGTTAGCTGTACATAGTGTTTTGCTGTGGATTGTTGGCTTTATAAGAATTGAGTGGAGATATGAAATTCTTCTTATTAAAAGCTATGCAGTTCATCTTCTCCTAAGATTAATGGTATTCATGGTGATTACCAAAGATAAGGTAAAGCTCCTACAAATACATTTCTATAATCTGTTGTATCTTGGGAATTCAGTTAGCATCAGCAGCTAGCACAAAAGTTAATCCCAGTGTTATGTGAATGAATTTTGAAGCTACTAGATTTCCTTCAGTATACCTAATAGGATACTTCTATATTCCCCAATTCTGATTTGTCAATTAAATCTCCTTTTTCATTATAAACGATAACACAGTGCATAATCATCATGCCTGTTCTATCATGTCATATAGATATGCTTTTATTAGTGTCATAAAGAAAGTCATATTGATGAGATTTTGGCAAAGTACATGGTACAAAATACTGTATTTTTGATCATAGATTTTTTTTGCATCTCAGAGACATAACTAATGGTTCATAAAGTAACTGTGGAATAGGATGTCAGAGGCTATTTAACTGGGCTTCAGGAAATCTAAAAGCAGAAGTGAAGTTTAATAAAGCTTCAATAAATAATATGCTTGAGAAAGTTTTACACATTGCAGAATACATAAGCTTTTTCTGCAAACCATTCTATGGTACAACTGTGTCAAATCTACCAGTAGTTGTAGGCCAAGCAGTCCATAGTTCTCCATATGTATCAGAACAGGAGTTCATTCGCTGTCATTATTTTCCATGGTCTTTATGGGTTGCCCTATTTTTATTTGCCTCTAATACATTTTGAGGAGATACTTGGAATCTCTATTGAAGAGTCAATATACAGGTCACCTGCTATGAGGAGGTACCAGAAATTCATGTGAAAACCTTTCTTGACTTATGCCAAATTTTTTACCTGTTTCCTCAAAATGACCTGAAAAGCATTATTTTTCTAGTAGGACAGATATGCTGCTTTAACTTACAGCAATTCATCTTCTAAGGCAGTTGGCAGCTCCTCTCCCAGACTTTGTGTTAAAGCATCACAGGTGAATAATAAATTGTCCAGAAAAGTTTTAGCTTCTTCCACAGACTTTCTTTGAACTCTTAATTTTCTTCAACTTAGTGTCTCATCACTTCTCCACCACTTTCTTCCTCTCTACTTCAACTAACAAGTTCATGCTGTCCAGTATTGTCCAACCTATCACAGACCTCCAACCATTCAAGGCTTAGACATTCAGTGAATTAAGTAAAAAAAATCTCAGTGTTCACATTTAGACATTAACTTATCAGTGTTCTAGAATCTGAAGGATAAATTGAAGAGGACAGAACATTTAAACCTCTGACTTCAGTTACCACCCTGACAGTTTGAAGTGCTTTCATTCCTGTGCTGTGTACTTTACACATTAGATGGAGAAATCCCAAGGGATTCCAGTTCCCAGAAGAGTGGCGTGTGAATTTTGTGAATTCTTTGAAGTACAATGGCTCCAGCTTTGTACTGGGTCTGGCTGAGATGGAGCTCATCTTCTTTATAGTAGTCCATATGGTGCTGTGTTTTGATTTGTGACTAAAGCAATATTAATAGCACACCAGTATAGTGGTTGTTTCTGACCAGGACTTGCACACCATCAAGGCTTTCTCTTTTTCTTGGTCTGTCCTACACAGTAAATAGGCCCAGGGTAGGCAAGAATTTAAGAGGAGGCACAAGCAGGACCAGTGAACCAAACTGACCAAAGGAATATTCCATGCTGTGTAGCATCTTTGCCCAGCAATAAAAACTGAGCAGAGAGGGCGTGGGGGAAGTGAGACATTTCGTGGAGACTGACAGGACATCATTCTGCTTGTGAGAGACAGTGAGTGGTTGCATTTGCATCACTTGTTTTGTTTTAATTTAGTTAGTTGGGGGTTTTCCAACTAAATTCTTCTGTTTGTTTATTAAACTTCCTTTATTTCAGTTTATGAGGTTTTTTCTTCTTCAAATCCTCTCTGCTATGCCTCTGGAGAGGGCTGGGGGAGTGAATGGCAGTGTGGATGCTTGGCTGCTGGCCCGAGATCAACCCATCACAGATATGTTTTTTGTGTAAGATTTGAGGAACTTAGTGCTTTCAGTTTTAGTCTTGGAGAGATATATTCTCTTGTGATGTATCTCGCTCCCATATATATTTAGTATATATTCCACTCTTCTATTATTAGTGGAGTTTTATTATTGTTGTATACACTCTGAAGGAATATGAAATAGTGCCATAAAGCCTACTGCCATCCCATAATACTTTGCTTCTAGAGTAAGTGCTCCTTGCTTGTTTTGGTGAACCAACAAATCAGCTATATGAGCATTAAAGGGATATTGCCTTGAGGTTAACTGTGCATGAGGCATTTCCCATATTCTTACTAAAAGTGGGATTTCTGTGCCTGAGGCACACCAGACTGCTCTTACCCTGTACTGTGAAATGCATGTATGTATTTTTACTATTACGCAACTCGTATCCTCTTTTTGCATTTCCCCATGTTCATATATGTATAGTGTCCAATGTATGTCTTCTGTAATTATTCTCTAAAATTAAATACATGCTTTGCATGAAATAAAACCTCTGATCAGTCTAGATAAAAATCCGGCTTTCAACCATATCTGCCTGTCTTTGTTCCCTTTTACATTGCAGCCATCAGTCTAAAGCCATTGGAGTGAGCCTGAATTCATTCCCCTGAATGGATCACAGATCCTTCTGACTATTTCCTAATTTTACCATATTTATTTGGAGCCTATTTTCATACATGGGTTGATAGCATGTTTGTTTTTCCTGTACTACATGAATCCATGAGTCTGTCATAACTTGTATGTATCCTGCATGTTCTTAGGCTGTATTATTTCCTTTGTAGATAAACTGTGCAGTTTAAATTCTTCTGTACCTCAGTTGAGTTTTCCAGTAGCTTTGCCCAAAAAAAAAGGCATACTTTCAGCATATTCTTGTGTCATGAGATGGCCAAGATCACATCTATCTGTTTGATTCTTATTTGTTGTTCATGTGAAAAGAAAGGCAACTTGCCTCTGGCTTTTCAGTTCACTTGACTTTTTATTGTATGTTTCACAGGAAGTCTTTAGACTGTGACTTTATGACAAAGGAATATTTTTTCATATATTTTAAATTCTGTTAACACCATATGTATTAACAGAAACAAGAGAGAATGGGATAGATATTCTCCTTCCATATAAAGGAATGGCTGAAAATACTGCACACTGGGCCTGTGAAATATGTCTATCAATACCACAAAACAAAAGCAAAAAAAATTTCCTCTGAATATTTTAAAAGAAAGATAAGAAACATAGTAGGTGTCATTCCTGTTCTCAATGGAAGATTAAACTTTGTATCAATTACAAAATCAGCTTGAATTAGTGTATTTCGAATTCTTGATATGGTTGGAGTCAGTCTGAAGATATTTATATATGTAGCATGCTAATTAGTCTTTTTGATTAGTTAGAAATTCAGTAACTTTTTTATTCATTTGCCTTTATTATACGGCACTACTGCTTCTATTATTCTGGACTTCTCACTAATCCATCAATGTAATTTTTCTCTGTAAGAAGTAAGGCAATATAAATGTAGTGAGAATGCTATTGCTGTGAATACTCTTAATTGCTAGTTGGAAGTGGGAACATTTTTTAACTGTTGAGGATTGAATTGGTCAATAAATGTGATGTAAGCTTAACAGAGAAATAATATCAGTAAGTTTTTCTCACCCAAAGGAATTTGTGGTTCATATTCTAGTTTGGGGGGATTTTCTTTTTTAAGATAGAAAAGTAAAGATAGGTAGTTTTTTAGAAGCTGAGGAACACAGTTCATGCACTGTAGTCTTTTTTTGCTATGGAATTGTTATTTGGGGAAATGCAGATATTACTATTTTTAGTCCTTACAGCTGATACTGGTAGTATTGTATAATAATTTTATACAGTGTATTGGCAGAAACTTTGAGTAAAGGTACAATGCCTATAACATCTTGAATATTATGAGTAGAGACTGAAGAAAACATGCTTATTTCGAATATGGGAGACTGAAATAGTGAGTGGAATGAAAGTAATTCACGCCCAGTAGCTATGAGCCCATGTAGCTGTGATGTCAATTACAAAGCAACCTAATTAGATTTAGTGTTATTTTTATTTCATGGTATTCTGACCATTGCAATTACTCCAAAGTATTGTGTATTTTTAATTTTTTTATGTGTTCGCTGGTTTCTTAACAGATTTTTTCTGAAGAATGATATTTTCCATTTATCATTTCAGTAAGTTAACAAAATGCGTTTAATTAGATAAATAAGTTGAAAACTAAGAAATTGAATAAACCATTTTTAAAAAATTCGAAATTAAGCACAATCTCACTGAGTTACACAACTGAATGAACTTTCTCACAGTTTTCTGACACATCAGTTAGAAAATATCTGTAGAAGCATAAATGTCTGTGTTCCTTCAGTTATGTTATTTGGTCGCTATAAGTGTAATGAAAATAAAAGTTACAATAGTGGAATCAAAACGTTCCCCCCAAAACCACAAACATAAAATGCAATCAAGTTTGTGTTGTGATATCTTCTGAGCTATGTCATTTCTGTTGATAGTCCAGTTATATGCTCACATTTAAACATTTTGTAAGGTACGAGGTTCTGTGACATTTACAATACAAAATCCCATTACTTCCAACATGACATTTCAAAGAGATTAAGTAATTCAGATTCTTCCTTTTGGAGAATTTCCACTCAGATCTACCCATAGTCCTTAAAACTTCAGTCTAAGTAGATATTCTAGCAAGAGGGCTGTGTAGTATTTTATACAAGCCACAATACAATGTTGTAACAAAAGCAACAAAAACTAACTCAAACATAAAAAAAATTATACAAACAGGAGGGAGTACTGATTCAGGACCTGGGAATATGCAAAACTGATTAAATCCATCTGTCTGTATCAGCATGGCAGTAAAGATAAAAGAGCTGCAGTCAAGCCTACATCTAGATTTTTGTAGAAATATCTATATTATAAAATACCTATGTAAGTCTAAGAGAGATGGTTTCACATGGCACAGATACTAAAAAATAAAAATATATGCTTTGCTGGAATTCTTAGCCTCCAGTAAAATAAAAGTTCAGCTCTTTCCATTTCAGCTGGCACTGAAAATACTTTTTATCTAAGAAAAGTCTTTGGATTTAACACCTCTATAGTAGCAAACTGCTTATATGGAAAAATTTCCTTACTAATATTAATCAATAGTACTCGTTTAAAATTTATCAATTTCAAGAAGACAACCTAAAGTGTGCAAATGCTCATCTGTTATTCTGACTGCCATGCTCACAAAGATATAGTTTATTTTATTACAAGAAATTAATGCCATAAACAAACTCCATAAGAGACCAGGAATGCAGATCTATTCATACTTTCACCATGAAAGTGAGATAGAAAGACTGAGTATTGAAAATAGTGACTCATGCTCCTTAGCAGAAATGCTTGAAGGAAACAAATTTACAGATAGGGAGAGAAATCTCAAAATAAGAAATGTGATGGCAGTGCAACACAAATTTCTAGTATTTAGGAAATGCAAATATTAATTTCTTGCTCTAGTTACAGTAGTCAGTAGCATAACTTCAGTAATAGAAGATGTAGAAATTTCCTCTGTCTGTGTTTTAAAATCATCTTAGGGCCTCAGGGAAAAAAGAAATACAAACCAACAAAGAAAATAAAAACCCTACAGAAACTTTATAGCATCTTGAAACCTTTCAAACTTATTATTTGGTATTAAATGGAAAGCTCCTCCTTGACAGCTAACAGGAGTAGGTGTTTTGTTGTGTCTTTTTTTCTTTTCTCTGTTTTGAGGAAATGGCAGAGAGAAATGCATGTCACTTAAGCCTGTAGGATTTATTTTCTTGTGAGTTCCAGTGCCATCTTGGAGCTCGCTTTGATTGTTTCACTTAAAATAAAAGCCTTAGGATTTATTTTGTTAAGCTTTTATTTTAGTTTGGATATCTGTTTTCACTTGTAGCCTTCTGCACACTATGCTTTCTAGAACACAGTGTGGTACATGGAACAATATCAATATATTATGGGATCTTCAGAGAGAAACTTTTGTAACTGAAAGCAAGAAATAAAGTAAAGTTGATTAAGATTCAGGGCAAAAACACTGTGTTACTACCATGACTGGCATATGTAAACTTTGAAAAGCACTGGCTGTTTTTTATCCTGTGTCATTTACACTGAACTGCTTTCTGATAAAACCACATTCCTGTCAAGGCAGCACAGTGGGGACAGCAGTGCCCCAAAGGTCTCAGTCTTGTGTGCCAGGCAATGTGACCACCACTGGCTCATCAGAAGCCTTGAACCAGCCTGAGCCCTGGATAAAGAATGTCCTGGAGTGAGTGTGCTGGAGCAAGGGAACACGCTCTGCAGGCAGGGCTTGGGGACCTTGGCAGACTCCCCACTGAGCAGTAGCCAGCTAGGCACAGGTTCAGTGATGAAGTCCCATGTAAGGGGCTGTGTTAGCAATAACATAGTCAAGGGAAATGGTTGTTATCATCTGTTCTCATCTACTTGCATTCCTGAGGCCACACCTGAGGTAGCTCCCTCTGTGTCCAGTTTTGTTGTTCCTATGGAAAAGATTTGTATTTTAAGCAAGTTAGTGAGGAGGCTGGACTAGAGGACTTGCATGATCCCTCACACCCTATTTGATTCTGTGCAAATATCTTGTTAGTGAAGTGTTCTTTAGATGAATATTGAATATTATTAACTGTCTGTAATTGATCACCATATTTTAAAAAGGATAAAGAACAACAGGAATTTTAGTGTAATCCACCCTATCACCAGCACCCCATTTCAAATGATAAAATATTTGGTAATTTTTATAATAAAACTTGTTTTTTAAAATTTTGTTGGCCTATTTTGGTTGCCTCAATTGTTAACTGAGGAGTTCCCTTCTGTGATCTTTCATCAGCCACTTAGGTTACTTTGTGCCCCTGGGATAAGGCATTCAGGTCTTTGTGTGTCTGCAGAAGCTGAGTTAGTATCTAGACACCCTGTGGTTCCATGGAGAGCACATCCTATTGCTTGGCTCTCTTAAATGCTCTGGACAGCCCTCTTGCTGTGTAAGGATCCCAGCATCTTAGCTTTGATATTTGAATGGGATACCTAAGCTGGGCATTGTGAAGGGCTGCTCCTCACAGCATTACATTAAGTCTGTTTGCAGGCACCAGTGTGTATCAATGCATAATGGCTGACAGATTCTCACTGTCTCAGTGGGATGCTGAGGAGATCATGCCATAAGTCATTTTATAACAGCACTGTTGGGATCTTTGTCAGAACCTTAGGTAAAATGAACAATATGTTTGGGAGGTGATTATTTTGCTCAGTTTACTTGAAGGCAATAAAAGGATTTTTGAAAAATCTTTTCTTTCTTTCTGAAGAGGTGAAAGAGATTACTGGAATAAAAGTGACACAGAATTGTGCCACTGACATCAAGTTTTAGTAGTTCCCATGATTATTAAGTCATGAAAGAAAAATGGACAATTGGCTGATATATATCTAAGTCTTCAGGCCAAGCATGTTAATTTTTGCAAACAGCAGATAGAATGCTTTGCAACTCCTTTAAAAGCAAAGCATCTCACATATATCTATTCAGATACATTGTCTTATTTATATTGTGTATAATGGGTAGTCCTTTTCTAGCAAGTATATAGAGTTCAGTATTCATGTTCACCATCAAACTCCCTACAAATGACAAAGATTAGGTTCATAATTTCTTCCCTAAGGGTCGTGGAATGAATAACCGCATATTAACCACTAGATGTCATTTTGAATGTTGACATATATCATCAATTAAGCAGTAGAGGATTTTACCTTATATCTGAGATCCCCAGGACTCTCAGCAACTTCATAGAGCAGTATTCTGATTCAGTAGCTAGCTTTCTTCTAGGTTGGTACCAGAAATGGGGCAATATAGCATATAAGTATAAATATCTAATTTACAAATGTAGAAGGCAGTGGTGATATTCTCTATATTATACACAAAACAAACATATGCAAAATCATTGAGCTAATTATAATTGTCTTTCACAGTAGTATTTAACTAAAATCTACCTCTTCTGGCAATCATAGGCATTTAAATAATCTGGTTATCTTTCTGAAGTTTAGTAATTGCAACTATTGTATGTCACTTTTTTTAAATTTAGACCAGTGTGCTTTCATGCCACTACTTAATGAGCTTTTGTGGTTCCTATAGGAAAATTTTAAGAGTTAAAAAAGCATATCCCACCAGCATTCAGATGTAGGGGATTTCAAAGGTACATATGCAGTGCCTTACTTACTGCAGATAGTGAGGGAAGGAAAGCATTGGTATTTGCAGAATAAAGTTGCTATAAACACATAAAAGTTGCACTAAAAGTTAACAGAATGCAGTTGTACGTTAGCCTGAGTCAATGCTGTTTTGAGAAGACTGTTTAGGGAAAATTTTTGAAAAAGCTTCTAAGAATGTTTTTCAAATTCCTATGACATAAAAGTGCTTGAAGTAAGCATTGCTTTCAATGCTACATAAAAAAGGTTTAGGATTCCAAGAAATGGAAGCTAGGGAAGACAGTGCTTTGAGTCTTTATACATTCCTAGTAAATGAAGCCAAAATGCAATAAATAAAATTGGCATTTTGGTTTAAAAAAACACTATTTTTTTTTTTCAAAAAGGCCCAATGCATATTTCCTGAACACACTACCCTAAGTTCAATAAATATGAACATAATATGTATACCCAGGGGAAGTAAATGATCATCAGCACATGTGTATATTGGTACATAAGAGAAAGAACTTGTATCTGTTACTCTTGGTGCTGCCCTATTATCCTTGGTTTTGTTGCCTTTCTAGTGATTGGTAAATAAAACAGTCAAAAACTTGTCAAAAGGCATAAAAATCACTTGAACACTGATAAATATTGGGCAGTTTCAGAAAACTGACATATCTTCCTTTACGGATATATTTCTTCTTACTGCAGATCTAATGCATTTGAAGTGCTGGCACTCGATGGAGTTAGTACTGGGATACTTCAGTTTTATACAGCCCAGGAGAGTGCTGACTGGCTGAGAGCAATGTCTACTAACATCAGTGATTTGACACTTCAAAATGTATGTTACTTTCTGCATATTTTCTTGTTTATGCTATTGTAAAGTTATTTCTAGTTTTCAAAGGGTAAAAAACAATTCACCTTTAAGTACAATATATAAAATGCTTGTGTATGGGGAGGAAAAGGAGAAAGGACAAAACAGGGAGAGGTTGCCTGATCAAAAGCATCAAGAAGTTTTCAAGGCTTGCAGTGTTAGCATAGAACAGAAACCCATAGAAAATCAGATTACATTTATCATTTTAAAGATTTTTAGGTCAAAATATGTATCAGTACTGGTCATTTCACAGACCTTTAGATGTGACGAAATATTTCATTTTCACATTTTTGTAGTTAAACTGTGCTTGAAATTAGCATTTGTTGCTTATTTTTTTATTTTACCTTAATAAAGTCATGTTCAGCAGCTCTTTGTCAGATTTGTTTATTTTGAAACAAGCATGTGAAAATTCTGTAGCTAGTGAAGAATGATTTACTGAGACTTACTGGAGACAGTAATTTTACATCTCTAAGTTGTCTAAGAGTTGATTTATTTAAGGACACATTATTCCATCTCACTTCCTAGAAGTATAAAGATGCTTATGCTATTTTAAGTTACTCCTGTAAATTAATAAGTAAAAATTGCCTTTGCAAGCAGAAGTATTAACTAATCCCCAGAGAAACAGAAAATAACTATTTGGACAGCACATCTATTATTCCATCAAAGAGCAGCTAAAAACATTGATAAATATGGAATTAACTATGAAGTTAAATAGGGAACTCAATAATGTACAATTTTGAAAGTATATTTGTCTTCATGAAATGATAAAATTCAGTGATGTAAATGCAATAGCACAGCTGTCCCTGAAAAAATTGCCTGTGCAGGTTTTAATCTTTTCTTTGTCTACATGTGCATAGTCTGTTAACTTCTTTCATAAATTATGATTTAGTAGCCTGACTTGTATTTGTGCTTTGTACTCTAAATGAGCTGTTGCTTAGGTCTCCAGATTATATTGTGAAGAATTTGTATTAAATTTCAACATAAATCTTTAAGTCTGTTGGTTAAAACAGACATAAAATTTATTTTGTTTTCCTATTCTTCAAAAGCTACATGAATCACATTTGATCATAATAGTTTATTTATTCCATTAATTCTTTTAAAATATTCAATTCCTTAAGCAATCTCTTTGTCAAAATCAGACGTTTTTGCTTATGACGTGTTCTTTTTAAATACTATTTAGTGACTCACATAATGTACAGGGTATTATTATGTAATAATTCTAAGAAAATGTATGGTAATATTTCTAGAGAAATTCCAATTCATAGTTACTAAGCCTTTTTTTTTTCTTTCTAGAGAAATTCACTGAATAAAAGCCATTCCAATGATATAAGTGAATAAGAATAAAAATAAATGCAGGCAGCTTTTGTTAGTCATAGGGTGCTAGTCAGTTTTTTCCAAAGGACTCTGTGCAGTAATTGTATGTCCTGACAGAGTATCTTCACTGTGCTGTGGCCTGTCAGCAGCAATATTTTATTATGAACTGAGGACTTTCTTAGTCTTCTCCACTATCTATTACTAGTGAACTCTGTCAACAAAGTAGTGCATCTGGTGTTCATATAGCTGGCAGTTCCCAGGAAGGGCCTGAGAAACAACAGTCATGATGAATGTTCATGTTTTGTGTTCTTAGTGAGTTACTAAGCAAACTCATATAAGTTCATATGAGAAGAATGTAAACTTTTTTGCTTGGACAGTGGCTTTCCAGGTTTTGTCAGGCATGCAGCCTGTGGTACAACTGGAAAGGTCAGGCCAGAGCATTTATTGAATTATTGATCATCAGAAGAGGAGATGCAGTAGTCAGTGAGAATCCCTTTTGTTGCAAACTATTTTTAAGACAGTGATTGAGAGGCTGGAGTTCAGCAGAAGGCTGGACAGCTCTCTGCCTCTGAGCAGCCAGAAAGCACACACCACCCTCCACAGTGCTTAGGACAGGCCTTTGAATCCAGCTTCTTGGAAGTCCATTTGGAATCCTTTTGGATTACCTTAGTCTTATAATTTCAAAAAATGATTCTTTTCTTATCATACCTCTGACACTGACATTGGGGAATGTATCTGTCATTCCTTCAGAGCTTCTTCCTGTCTCTGCACTTCTCCACTCCTGTAGAGTGTCTCCCCATTCTCCAGGACCAAAGATAATCACTACTCATTCAGAAATTATTTCAGAGAGTTCCTTATCTGGTTATGGGTTATTTTCATGAGTACTTGCTGACTCAAAGTTCAGTTGCTTCTCCAAATAGTTAAACTATTGATTTCCTATTCTGTCCCATACCATCATCTCAGTATGGAAATTAATTACTAGATACATGGTCAAAATGGACTTTTTTGCTAACACTGTTGGCATAATGTCAGCATCCTTACCTGAGCTATTATGAGGTTTTTAAGCAATACTTACCATTATTCATGTTTTACTTCCACACATTTTTACATTTTGTTCTTCTGGTACTTGTTTCATGACTTTAGCAACTTTTCTTGTACCTTAGTCATTCTTACTTAAACTGTGCCTATTTGTGTTACTCTTATCTACATTTTTTACCCTACATATTTGCATGATGTTTTAAATAATTTCTTTTAGAATTTTAGTTCTTAAAGAGCTCCTAATAGGGATTTTTTGTACAGTGCACCAAATCTTTCCTGTATCACTTTACCCTAATATACTTTTTTTTTATTATTTTACCCTAATAAAGTCATGTTCAGCAGCTCTTTGTCAGATCTCCTGCTGATGCCAGGAGACAGTCCTAGTGTAGGTAGTGCAAAAATAGCTCTGCCACAATGTGACACTTCTGCTAATGTCAGACTACTCTTTTGAAGTACTACTGAAACATCTAACATCTATACAAAGGCAAGCTCTCTGGGGATCAAGTGTATAGGAGGAATCATCTTTCAACAGTGGAGATGTGAGAACTTGTCACTGCATAGGAGTGCTGTCCCTGTACATATTTAGAGAGTGTTACTTGGTAGATGAGAAATAATGACTCTGGTACCAGCCTGGACTTAATTCTTAGATGAGAGAGGAGCACAGGGAATGCTGCAATGTGGAGAAAAATGTAAGTGTCTTTTCAGCCCTCATTGCTGATACATGCATTGTATGCTTAGCTCAGAAAATTTCCTAGTTACAGTCAGCTTTACAAGCAACATGCATTTCTGAGGACCCTTGCCCCAAATTATTTATCTCTCTGTACATATTCTGTTTTTGTCACATCCTTTTCTACCAGCATGAAACTACCCTATCATCTTCCCTTGTGATTCAATCCTCATTTTCAATATTCTCAAAGCTTTTTGCATTTATCCTTGGCAGAAATAAATGCAGGTGAATCAGCATCTCAGATTTATTTCTTCATACACCTCTTTTCTTGCAGAAGGAGGTGCCGTTGAAAAAACTGAGAGGAGTAACAGAAACTGGCAGTGAATCTTCCATGATTAAACAAAAGCACAGGAAATAAATTATTCTGCCTGTGCTTCTCACTGCTCCTGTTCTTAATTTCTTCAGCTGAAGGGTTCTTTGTAGGCTGAAGTGACAGTGCTGTAATGGCTATGACTTTCTAGGAGAAAGGTCTTTGGGATAATTTATATTTCTCTCTCTGTTTTTCACCATTCAGATTGACAGCTATATGATATATGCAGGTTTTCTCATGGATCTTAATTATTGTCTTTGAAATATAGCACTGAGCATAATTTCAGTCATAATCAGTAGAAGCACCTAAAGGTAATGCTGTCAGTTCATTTACATTATAGAAATTTGTTTCTTATATATAAAAATTTCTCAAGGTTTAGTGTTTTTTCACAGTAAATTTTATTGGTGTTATTGTTTAAAAAAAATTGTAAATAAATGAGTGGGTCATAAGCAGGTCAGAGAACAAGTTATGATGCTCTTGTTTCACTTAAAACATTATTTATGATTTTTATAAATCATTCCAGCAGTTTCATTGGAGGATGGTAGAAACTTAAAATTTGATATTAAAGTGGGGTTATTAATCCAGATTACATTTATGCCCATGACATCTTTTTAATTGTATATGTCATAGTCTGTAAACCTCCTCTTTTATTTCTTCATGTAAACACGTATCTGGGGATATTTTGTGTTGCAGTTGTGTGAAATGTCTGTTTTAATAGGGAGAGACTTATGAAATATGAGCTTTAAACATACATTAAGAAAAAAGAAAGAAGATTGAGGAGGTCTTGTTTTCTTTACACAGCAGATTGTGGGGTACATGTAGATGGAAACAAAATCCTTGTGTGTAGGAAGCAGTATACAAATTTGACTGACTCAATGATTATACAAACAGTTCTATTCCCAGGGTGAGAATGCATAATATTTCTTCACTGCTGCTTTTTTGTTGTTTTAAATGCAAAGTTTCTCATTGAAAGTAACACAGTTCAAACTATAGAGGTTGTAAAGGGTAGTCAGTAGGGATAGGACCCACGTCCCCTAAACTTGGCCAAGCAATAAGCAGTCACAGAGGATACTAATACAGCTAGGAAAAAATAGGTGCCTGTCAAGATCCTTCACTGTTTTCTTGAAAGAGAATAAAGGTATATGTGAAATAAATCCCAGCCTGGGAGGCATTTAGATTTAGGTAAATGGTTCTGAATAATTTTAGTTCCTGCCCTGTATGTATCCATTTAGAACAGAGCACAGGAATTGCAATTTGCTTAATAGTTCCTTTTCCAAGTAGCCTGCAGTCTTTGCAAACCCAGGTTTTTTGTTTTAGTTCCCCTGCTGTGTCCAGCTCACATTTCTATACAGCAGTGCTAGCAAGGTAAATGTATCCCATTTGTATTCCTGCCTGTCTGCACCAGCTGTGGAGGCATGTGAAGGGCACACGTGGTGCCAGGTGAAGTGAAGAGTTCGTACTTCTCAGCCCTGTGACACTGGGATGCAATATGATATAGAAGCAGATCTTTTTCTTCTCCCCACAGCAACATCAGGGCTGCAACCATCCTGCTTGGAATAGGGAATGAGTTGCCTGTGCAGTGAAAAACTGTGGAGTCCAAAGCATTCTTCCCTTTTATCCTTTCCAATAGGATGCTGGGCTGGTTATTAGGGTGCTCTCCAAAATATTCTACCTGCTTGGTGCAGAAAACCTTCATAGCCAGTCTGACACACTTACTTGCAATGGTTTGTGCTATAGTAATCTTATTGAATATGGTTTTGGACACCTGAAGGAAATTATATTTTCTGTGTGTCTAACATGGCTTTTCTGTAGTTACTTTGTGTATGTATTTGTGTCTGAGGCACAGGAGAAAGGTTGGTCTTGACTATGGGCAGGATGTATCAGCATTTCTACTGACATTGAAGTATTCCAGGTGACTTTTCATTATGTCCTGCACAACTCTTCTAGCAGGATTAAGCCCACCACCAAAGCAGACTGGTGACTGCTTCCTTCTTCAACACTGGCCATTTCACCAATTTGTTTTAACCAAGTTACAGAGTGAGGTTCTTGAGTTCCAGCTGGTTTGTTACTGAGGGGCCCCATGGAGGACTCTTCTCCCAGCCAGTGCTCCAGGGCCAGCTCCAGAACAGTGCAGCCCTGCAGTTGTGCCAGGCTCAGGAGGGCACGCACACCTGGTGCATGACCTGCCAGGAGCCTTGCTGGGGCCACTCTGTCCAGTCAGCAGCCAAATTCCAGTTCCATCTTCCTGACTGCTCCCTGCTTGTGCTAAGCAGAGGGTGCCAGCCCTGCAGTCTGTGACCCACTGCTGTTGTGGTAGTCCCTGCTCCTCCTCTAGGGTGGCCAGGAGCTGTTAGGGCCACTTCAAGAGCCTGGCAGGATCTCCCAACACACAGCCCAAAGTGACAGTCAGGCCTGGCAGATGCCCCTGGCTCCCAGCAGCTTGGCCACCTCTACCTCAGACCCTCAGTCGCCCCCAGCTGTCTGACCTGCCAGCACATCTGCACCATTTAACTGCACAGGTCAATTCCAAAGGGCTGCAAAAGTGAGTGTGTGAGAGGGAGAAGAAAACCTGATGGCCTATGATGGGTTAGGACTGACTAGAGAGCTCCTACAGCCCTGAGCATTGCTATCACCCTCTGTCCATACAGTCAAGACTCCTATTGTCATCCTACCCCTCCACCTTGCCTTTTTCCTAAGGTTATTTTGTTTATGATCATAGATACTTGACTCAATGACTTGTTATTGTCCTCAGTTAGGTGCAAGAGTGTGTGTGTATGTGTGTGTGTGTATAAACCCAGACACATCCTGAGGCCTGTGTCATTACCATGACACAAAGTCTGTCGGCCCATACAGGTGTACTGGGTCTGGCTGGGATGGGGGGAGCCCTCTTTGTAGCAGCAGGTGCTGTGTTTTGTATTTGTGGCTAGAACAGCATTAATAACACACCAGTATTTTGATTGGTGCTGAACAGTACTTGCATGGAATGAAGGCTTTACCTTTTTCTCTCTGACACACCCCACCCACCTCAGTAGAGGATGGAACAAGGAATTAGGAAGGGACATGGATGGGTTAGCTGACCAAAAGGGACATGGATGGTTTCGCTGACTGAAAGCAGGAAAAGAAATATTCTGTTGCGGTGTGAAGCAATATCCTGTTTCACCTTTGCCAGTCCCTCAGGTGTGCCAACCTCTCCCTTCCCCTCCCCCTTGCCCCCTTGCTAAGTGCTGTCCGTCAATCTTAACATTCCAGCAAGGGCATCGTCTGGTTGGTGCAGTTCAAAAGATGCTTCTCAGCCCTGGGGTCATTGGCCAGTCTAGGTGTCATTGTCCCCTGGTCATTGGCCAGTGTAGATGTCATTACCCCCCTTCCACCTGGTTGGTGGCACACCTGCCCCTTCCCCTCCCCTTTCCCCAGGCTTAAAAAGACACGAGACCATGCAGTTGGGATTCTGTTGGAGCTGTTACCAAGATTCAGAGATCTGTGACCATGGAATAAAACTCTGGATTAACCCTCCGGCAGAATCCGTCTCCTTTTCCTCTTCACCTCGCCTAAAGCCTTTCCATTAGAAGTAAAAACTGAATTCCTGCTTGCCTGGACTTGTTCCAAGTGCCAGCTGCAACATACAGCCAGCCAGGGGTGTCTCTGAGGTGAAAACACCACAGTTGCTGCCTCTGGTCAAGCAGCAAGGGCCAGAAGAGCCCAGGCACGTTCCACCCAGTAATATTGGGATCATATTCCAATATTATTCCACACCATTGTGCCCAGCAATTGAAATGACATCATGGAGAAAAGAGGTGTGGGTTTGTCTTCCAAGGTGGCTGTTGCTTGAAGCCTGCTTGTGGGAGGCAGAGAGTGATTGCATTCACATCAGTTGAATTTTTCTTGTTTCTTTCACTTTAATTCTGTTCATCTTGACTCAGAAGTTTTCTTCCTTTTGCTTTTCCTATTCTCCCATCCTTGCTGCTGGTAGGGAGGAGGGAGTGAGCAGCTATGTGGATGCTCAGCTACTGGCCAGAGCCAACCCACCATAGCAGTCAATGGCATCACCATATTAACATGACTTACATCCACAGATTTGATCTTACAAATCTCATGTGCCCGGGATACAAACAATAGCCCTGGAATTCTTCTGTTCATTTCCTATGGCAATTGGAGTTTTCCCTGTTCACAGGTGTAGGGTTTTGGTCTTCCATCACAAACCTTTCATTTCTAATAAAACAAGCTTTTTGACAACAAGGTCCTTTGGAAGTACTCATCAACTCTAGGACAGTTTTCAGCTTTCTCCTAGCTTGTAGGGAAGTCTGGTTTTACACTCTAATATATTTCTTTCTAAATTCTTATATACACTTAATAAAATTGCTGTTATACTTTAAAGTATTTGTCTACTATATATGTCAGTATTTGTCCACTACTCATATGTGCAAACTATGACCATCAGAGAAAAATCAAAATGATCAAAACTCTTCATTGCCTAAACAAAGAGAAAAAACTTTGTCTTGAAGAGTAAACTAACAGGAAAGCCCATGCAATTTTCATTTCATCTGTAAATACATCTTACACTCTATGGTCACAAGCACTTAATTGCAGACATCATTTAAGAATCTGCTTAAGCAATTGTTTAACTGAGACCTAAGTGAAATGTCTACAGTACAGTACATTATTTTCACTCAGACTGGCAAAGATAAATTCATAAATGCAAATCTTTATGTGGTATTTAAGGAAAACTTTATGATTAAAAGCTTTTGTCTTTCAAGTCCTTGGTTTTGCAAATTCGCTATAATAATAAAAATCTACTATTTAAGCACTGAATGATAAAATTTCTTACAAATATAATTTGGAAGTATTGATATAGTATTCAATAACTAAGTCAATCAAGTCTAATTCTATCAGAGAAACTCTTCAGCATACCAATAACTCTATGTGTTCTTCCCTCTCTCTTTCATAGATGAAAATGGCAAATAAATGCTGTTCTCCCTCTGACCAGGTAAGATTTCCATTATATTATCCAATTTTTTTAATTTGTGTGATTACATTGTTGGAAAATTTGTAGAGCTTGCATATACACATCTAGTCAGTTTTAAAACTGCCTAGTGGATGGACTGCAAGATCAGTGATGGGAAAGCAAAGTCCCTCCCACTGTAAGATCAGACTTGTGATCACTTCAGGAACCTGAACATGCTTCAGTCTATGGGACCTGATGAGATTTATGCATCCTGGAGTCCTAAGAGAATTGGCTGATGTAGTTGCCAAGCCATTCTCCATGATGTTTGCAAAGCCATAGAAGTCAGGTGAAGCCCCTGGTGAGAAGTAGAGAGGAAACCTTGCACCCGCTTTTAAAACTGATAGAAAGGAGGAACCCAGGAACTACTGACCTGTCAGCCTCATCCACGTTCCTGGGAAGATCAAGGAACAGATCCTCCTAGAAGTTGTGATAAGGCACTTGAAGGGCAGGGAGGACTTGGGGAGCAGAAAGCCAACTGTGTCCTGGGCTGCATCAAAAGTAGAGTGGCCAGCAGGTCAGGGCAGGTGATTCTGCCCCTCTGCTCTACTCTTGTGAGACCCCCTCTACCTCTGCATCCAGCCCTGAGGGCTCTCAAAATAAGAAGGGCATGGACCAGCTCTAACAGATCCAGAGGAGGGCCACAAACATAATCAGAGGGATGGAACACCACTCCTGTGAGGAGAGGAGACTGGGGGAGCTGGGGCTGTTCAGCCTGGAGAAGGGAAGGCTCCAGCATGACCTTATTGAAGCCTTTCAGTATCTAAAGGGGGCCTGTAAGAATGACTGGGACAAACTTTTAGCAGAACATATTGTAATAGGACAAGAGGGGCTAATTTTAAACTGAAAGAGTGTTAATTTAGTTTAGCCATAAAAAAGAAGTTTTTCTTACATTAAGGGCAGTAAAGCACTGGCAAAAGTTGCCCAGAGAGGTGATACATGCCCCATCTGTGGAAACTTTCAAGGTCAAGTTAGTGGAGCTCTGAGCCGTCTGATCTATTTGAAGATGTGCCAGCTTTTTGCAGTGGGGTTGACCTCCATTACATTTAAAACTCCCTTCCAACCCAAACTGTTCTATAATTCTGTGATTTAATTGCTCTCTTTGTCATGGCTTTTAATTATTAATTAAAATAATATGAAAAACAGGTGATTATGAATGCCAGGGGAAAAGGTATTGGATTTGGATATCTTTTATTGGATTTACTGTCTACTGCAAGTGCTTTAGTAACTATTCAAAGTTTTTTCCTTATCAGTTTGGGCACACATAATGAGTTCAGTTGAAAAAAAGAAGACATACTCTCCCTCAATTTTCAAAAAATTCAGACAGTCATACAACTACATACATATCACTAGATACATAATTTGATTTCCTAAATTATGTTAATTATTATTATTTATATTAATAAATAATATGTTAATATTATTATTTATGTTCCTAAATAAATCCTAATTAATAATAAATAATAAATTAATAATAATAAATGAATGTATAATATTAATAATAATAAATAATAAATTATTAATAATAAATAAATAAATAATAAATCCTAATAAATAAATTTAGGCTAGTCTCCATAAACTGCCTAAATAATCAGTGCAGAAATGTATTCTGTTCTAGAGAGCTGTTCAAGTGTGAAACTTGGTATCAGTGCTTTAAATCATCCTTTAGAGGAGTCACTTTTGTTAATCTTGACTTGCCTCAGCCTACCATCTAAAGTAGTTACCTAAAGTTAGGCAGTACAAATCTATCTCACTTTTTCCATTCCAAGTATGAAATGAAGGACAATTAGGACCTTAATTTCAGGAGTTGAAAATTTAAGGTACAACTGACAGCAACAAACATTGGATTGTTCTCTGCCAAAAAGTGAGAAAAAAATGTTTATAATGAATTTGGGCAGATCAAGTAAACAAAACTAGAAAACATAAAAATATTAAAGGAGCAATTGTGATCAACTCAGACTTTATATGTCCTGTTAAAATTTGCTTTAAAAACAATCAAAATGTGAATTTTCAGATATATATATCACAAAGGCATCATATAAAATTTGGCAATGATAACTGAAAGCAGAAGAGAACCTTTTCTGACCTAGATTAATGGAGCCTATTAGTGTCAGTTACATAATATTTGTACAGACCCATATTAAGGCAATTGATTTAAAATTTAGAGAAAGTATAACCTTAAGAGATTGGAGGTCACTTGAAGAACTGCCTTGAAGTAAAATTTTTGATAGCTGCAAATTTATCTTTCCTTTTGAGCATGGGCATTCCTGAAGAATTAAACAGGTCCTTGGAGTTTCATTACTGTGTTGCCTGCGGTGAGTTTTCTTCATTGCTTTTAGAGTCCAACTTAATCTTTCATAAAGGAAGAAGGTTGGATGTGGATAGATTCATTCAGATTCTGGTTTTCATAGGCCATTAAAAAACTAGGATTCAAGGTTATCAAGAATGTAAAAAATTATTTTGTTAAACCTGGCTTTCTTCTTTGTCTTTTATATTGCCTCTGACTTTTTTTTTTTTTTTTTTTTTGCAAACTGACTCTCCAGAACATAATGAATTCTGTACACATTTAAATAAAAAAAAGGGAAAGGACTAAGATATTGGTTCTTGGGTCTAAACCAGCTTTATTTATGGGTCTCTTTGACAAAAGATGTCAAACAAATATGGTGTGATTCTTAGCCTGTGCAGGGCCATAATTTAGACTTTGATGATCCTTGTGGATCCCTTCCAGCTCAGAATATTCTATGAATATTCTACTCTCTGATTCTATGACTTTGCTCTGTGTCTATGACCCAAAGTTAGAGGTATTAGGCAAGGTAGTAGAAGTTGTAGTTATTATTTATATGTTTATATTGTTAAACATATCAATTTGTATTGACAGTACCACGTTATGAAGTTAATTGGTCTGGCTACTTCCACACTTTTCAATTCCCTTTTCCCACCAAAGTAGGTTGTTTGCATTTAAACTGCCTATTGGAAATTATTTCCACCAAAGCTAAAATCCCAGACTATCTGTGGAAATTGTTTGTGAGTTCTAGTTATACTAGGACATGTCATGATAGTTACTCCAAGTCAAGGACTACAAGATTTTAAGAAATATTCAGGGATTACACAAATTTGAAAGGCATTTAATAAGTAGCACTGATGAAGCTCTGGTTCTAAGTGTCTGTGTAACCTGTGTCAATGATGAAACACACAGCATCTAAGCATCATAACTTTTGATTTTGCTTGATATCCTTTATTATAATATTCTAGAAATTTGAAAGCACTTGATTCTTTGTTAAATTTGGGACTCAATTTTCAAAAATACATGCTGCTGGATTGCTTTTTAATTTTTATGAAAGTAAATTAGCCAATTCTCTCTTTGTACAGATAAAAATACTTGCAATGTTTTTTTGTTTGTTTGCTGGATAGTTTTTTTATGTTTTAAAGACCTAAACTTTTATCATTATTATTTCAGGGGATTTGTGTCTGCCAAGTGACATATCTAAACATTAGGAAAGGGCAAACATTATGGTCGCTAATGGAATAAAGGAGAAATTGAAAATTAAATACTACTCAATTTGACTTCAATCCCTGTAAAGAAATTTGAAATAAATAAACAAAATACCTGTGTGGAGAAGAAAGATGAAAAATGACTGCCTTGAAGGATTTTTCAATAACAAATCATGACAACCAATCTAATTTTCTCTTGTGAACATGTAACATAGCCTGTGGATATGTGACAGGAGGTTGCTGCAACGTATCTTGATTCCAGCAAGGTTTTTGACAACTTCTGGCATTAAAATATTTTAAACAAGTATTATATGGATTTGGTTGTACAGATTTTGTTGTATAATCCAATATTAGGTATGTATGGTTCACTTTCCAAACTGACATATTGACTAGAAATGCTGAAGAGGTGACCCAGATCCAGTTCCCTTGAATACTGCCTTTATGGTGCATTAGCAAAAATAAGCCTACTAATTTTGCAGACATTAAGCTTTAAAACACCATGTTAAACATATGAATGATCTTGCCAAATTGAAGAGTGAGTCTAAAAACCAGGATTGAACCAATTAGTACATGGCATATGTGCAAGAACAATTAAGTATATGTAAAAGACTGGGAAAAACTGAAGAGGTTGTTGCTGCAAAATGTTTGATGGTTTTCTGGGGGAGGGATAAATTCTTTTAGAAAGGTTTGGTTCATCCCCCATTGTTTTACTAGAACTCAGAGATGACCCTATCTGCACAAGACAGTCAGATAGAGATAATATGAAAAACAGGTTCATTTTTAAGACTTCCTTCTATGGTTTATTATTACAGTTTATTATTACATCTGTATGCTGTAATCAGGTACAGGGTTGACCAACAGACTACCCAAAAATTTGCATTCCTCTGGTATACCTAATATTCCTTTTCCCCTCCTTTTTCTCCTTGCAAATAAGGAATTCACCCTCACTTTACTGCTTCTCCATTGGCACTTATTTTTTCTGAATTTTACATGCTCATTTGGCTATTTCAGTCTTAATCTATGATAGCACCACATCTGTCTGCAAATCAGTCCCCTTTTTCATTATCTTTTGGCATTCTCCACCCATTATTCACTTTCTTTTAGTGTATTTCACCTTCTGGTTTACCCCCTTGTTGATGTTTACCCCCTTGTTGGCTTCAGCTTCCAGCCAACTCCTCCCTTCACATCGCGAGTGATGTCCAGCAGTTTCTCACACTGCTCCCTGTCAGTTTAACATCACCAGCCAGGCTGGCTGCTCACCTGCATGCCAGAACAACCATGGTGGCTTTTGGGAAAGGCAGGCATTGTGGGCTGTACCTAAGCCAGCTACTGCAGAACATGCTAAGCCTTCCTGTTGCTGTAAGGCCTTGGCCAGAATACTGCCTCTAATTTTGTGCACTGTGTTTCTGAAAAGGTATTGACCAGAGGTTTTCTGTGGCCTCTGTGGACAAGTTGAGAAAAATATAGAGGTATGAAAGAAATATTCAATAATGATAACTTTTTGCTCAGAGAATAACATGTGAAAAGCAGCAAAGAATGATGGCTACACCAGCTACATATCCTTGTTCATCGATTTTTGCTCCTTTGTGAACTCATTTGTGAGCTTGTGAGCTCATTTGTGAACTAAGTTTTTTAATTCTTCCACTTTAAGGTGAAAACCATTTGAGTCTTTAGTGGAAAGGGCAGTAATTATGATTACAGTGAGGCTGATTCATGCTGGACATGAGAAACAAAGTGCTAGAATAGATTATTGAGAGAAAATAGGCAGCCTCCACTATAGGAGAGGTCCTGAGAACATTAAGGAAGCATTTTTTAGAAACAAAATAGGTATCAGAGCTACTGCATTTTTTGAGAGGGTAGGATAATAAGTTTTTCAGAAACCTCTTTTCTACTCTGTGTTGTATAATTATAAAATCCTAATTCTAAATAAGAAGCTTTTCAAATATGAAGGGTTTTCTCATTGTTCCTCTGCTGCTGCTGCAGGTGTGCCATGGACATGTTTGCCTGACTTCATCCTGCAGCGTACAAGAAACCCTGCACCTACTCTTGAAGGACCATTTTTTCTTCCGCTTCTCTTTCTATTTTTTTTTCTCAAAAAAGAAAAAATGTTTCTAAAAATATAACATATAGCAATAAAATTAGTTTATCCTGATGGTTAGTCTGGAAAACTTAGGTTCTTGAAGACTATAATTTTACAACTTCTGCCTTAGAAAGGGAGCAGGACTAAATTCCTTTAAGCATAAAGAGACCACATAGAGATAGAATTGGGATCTTCTTTGGTTTTTTTACTTTATTTATGTGGGAGGACGGCTTTTATTTCCTAATGAAATTGCCTTGATTTGCTTCAGAGACTTTTTCTGACATCTTAGATCCTCAACTGAAAAAACTTTAACGGAAGAAGAATCACTTAAAAACACTGAGCTTTTAAACCCCTAGTCAGCTGATATGCAGTGCTGTGAGGTATATATGCTCTGTGAGATAAACAGCTATAGTTTGAAATAGTTTCTTCTTTATTTTTCCACTTATTGTTGTAATATTGCTAAAATACAAAGCAGACACATAAGGGAAAAAAAAAGTTGTGAAGAATGTGAGTTTTCCATTTTTCTTTAGTTTGGTTAATTCCTGCTGCATAAATAGTGCTACTGATCTGCTATAATATAAGAATGCATAACCATAAGGCAATTTACTGGTTGTAGCTGTCTTCAAGATAGAGTTTTGTGCTTTGGATCCTAACTCGAACAAGAAGGCTGTAATGAGTAAGGGTGAGAGACATCAGGTCCAATTTACCAGCCTCCCGTTAAAACAAGAAAACAAAGAGAAGAAACTCTTATTGCTACCCAAAAGGACTTGTAATCTAAATTTTGCCCTGGCAGACAATGCCTGGGAAGATGCATGAATTCAGGTACATACCTATCTTCATAGTTCCCTTCAGCATAGTGTGGATATGTTGCTATTTGTGGTGTTCAAACTGTGCCCAGCTCGGAGTTATGAATTTTGTTCTTGAACTAAAGCACAAAGAACACTTGTGTCATAATTTCTAAGTTCCTCTATGCTTTGCTCTCAAGAACATTTTGTTTTGAATAGCAGCCATTCAGACATAACTGAATGCAACTGGTGTACAATGGAAAACAGTAATGTAAAATACCAAAACTTACAGCCTTACAATCTTATTTTTTATTTTTATTTTACTTTTAGTTAAACTTTATGTATGTGTAAGGACTGCTTGTCCTCCCCTCCCAGTCCTGCCCCAATAGCTGTTTTCTTCAAAATATACCATCTACCACTTGTTTTGGAAAAGACCCCCCAAAATAATTTAAGATGCCTCAAGATGTACTTTTTTTTTTTGCTTTCTTAATTTGTTGTAGTTCCATTGTGCCTCATGGTAGGATACTGGTTCTTAATTTGCAGGTCAGTCTGCCATCTCTTGGAGATTCTTATCCCACTTTAATTACATAAGTGTATCTGTCTGTTCTGATGTGTCATACACAGACATCTATTTGATTTTCTTTCTTCAATTCCCTCCTGAGTGTTTTGCATCATTTACTTTTCATAAGTATTTAACTAAAATACTATATATAAAATTTACTGACTGCTTTGTTAAATTTAACACATGAAATTTCCAGTCATTGCAGCATCTAGATGCTTTATTGCTGCAGGAAAACAATAAGTGCAAATAAGAGCTTTCATTTATCTGCTATGATTGGATTAAATTTTGTTAGTAACTTGTTTTATCTCCTTGTAATGAGTGCCATTGCTCATTTTCTTCTTACAGGAACTTTTGGAAAGTGTATTAAAGCATGTTAGAAACTAAATAAAATATCAATGATGTATGGGTAATTTTCAAACAGTAGTGAAAGCAGTGCCAAGAAGGGACAGTTTGTAGTATAATGCCTTGTGAGCACTCCTGAAATCTTCAAATGGCAGGTTTCAATCAAAAAAACAGAATATTTATTATCCCGGACTAACATTTCTACCCATGTACTAATATCACATTAAAATCTTAGTAACCCAGTAAACCACAAACAGCTTGTAATTAAGTATCAACACTTGTTTGCTTTTGTTCCATACAGATTTTGTTGAACTGAATAATAATTCTTTCTCAATTTCTGAAATCTAAAAGACCATTAAATAAACCAGTCAATAGGAAAGATATGTAGAAAGAAAGTAAAAAACCCTAAAATTATATTGGATATAATTCTTTTTGTCTGTGTTATTTGATATTAAGACCCTGACAAACAGAATATATTATATCATTGTAATAGAGTAGCAAAATAATATACTATTTTTTAAGTTATGTGATGTCTGAACATCCTGCTTCAACACTTTTGTTGACTACTATAGAAACAATGTTTTGGTGAGAGTTATTCAATTTACAGAACAGCAAATCAAGAACTGGAAGGGCTACTGTATTTATTTTGCAGTTTCTTAGATCTCCTTAAAATGTTAGTCCTGGAGCTCAGAAGAACAGTATGGTGAAGGATTGTCTGGCTCAACATACTGATTTATTATTCATTTATTAATAAATTGATTGACAAAAGACATAATTGATACATTAAATACCAACATTAGAAAGCAATTTTTGAGGTCTTCATAATATAGGTATGAAAATTCATCCATACTATTAGTGAGGGCTTTGACATTTCTTCTCCCTGTAAATCATTACTGTCTGTAAGTGTAGCCTTAGTTGAAAATGAGCAAGCTGCTCAGCAATGCTTGTACACTCAGATTGGTGATTCACTCTAGATTTAAGTACCTGTTTCAAGAGCAATATATTCCTCTTAATGTATGCAAAATGGAGCCTGGATTGTTTTTGATTTGTTATTTTTCAGTAAAGACATTTATGATATTCTGCTACCATACCATGGCATTCTTCTTTATGGCATTTCATTATATATTTGTATTTGCCTCAGAAAGGAAGCATGCAATCTTACTTCTCCATTTCATTTTTTCTTAGCATTAATTTATCTGGAAAATAAAGGCAAGCATTGTAACACTGCTAACATTGTGTACCTACTGGATTTGATACCTAATTCTTTAAAAACATAAATGTGATAAAGCATATATGAAAATGTATAAACTCTGAAAGACAACAAGTGTGACAAAAACTTTAACAGTTGCAAACATGAGGCTGGTGAAAGCTGTTTGATTTCAGATAAATTCAGTGATTTGTTTAGAGGTATTTTTTTAGAGGTATGTCTAATAGAAATATCAGTATGTCCAAGTTTGCTATAGATAAGGTATTATGGTTTTATAAACTGTTGAACTACTGAACTACTTCAGTACATGTAGATTTTCTGCTGTCTCAAATGAAAGTCTGCTTTGACCTGCACAGCTGGCTTTTAAAACAGGGATTATTTCAGATAAGATTCAGACTACCTGTACTACAAGTTTAAGTCTCTTCAAGGACATCTGACACACTGGCATTATACTGTATGCTTCAAGAATATAGAAATGGTTGCAAGGCAAATGTGAAGTAGATGATGCATCCCATGCTACTAAAACCACTCATGATCCACTTTTTAATTTTCAATTATTTTCTTTTACAGGTCATACATATGGGATGGGTAAATGAGAGACTTGAAGGAACTGATTCATCTCAGCTCTACAAATTCAAGTTTCTGGCCCTGAAGGGTTCATCCTTCTACATTTTCAGCACTCCACCGGTAAAAAAAATATTTTTGTATCAGTTTCATTGTAAATGGAAACCTGTTTGTTACATCTGGGTTTATTTTCTTTTATCAAGTGAAGTTTTCAGCCGAGATTTCAATGTAAGTTAAAGTCAGAGATGCCACTGAATTTCAATAAACTGTAGATGTTTAGGCTCTTTCAAGGTCCTCTGAAAAGCTTGCTGTATGTTTTATTTTTTGAAGTTGTCAAGGTCAGGTTTTATTATGGTTGGTTAGGCCTAATATTTCTTCCCTTATTTATTTTAAGGTATTTTGTAGATGTAATGAGTTGGTAGTTACTCATCTTTCATGCATCATGAAATAAACCATCCATACTATTGGATGGTACTCGTGTATTTTTCAACGAGCAAGGGATCAAAGTGCTAAGTGTACAGTTTGGACAAGTCTTACTTTGATCATTTATATACCTCATAACAAGAATTCTGTTTCACAACAGGTGCCTTATCTAATATTTTTCTAAAAAATAATTTAGAAGGGTAAAATGGAAATGAGCTGTAGAATTCTAAACTGTTTAAAAATTACCTATACTTACCACATTTAATCCTTTATTTTTTCTCCAGAAAACCTTTGCCTTAAACAAATGATAAAAGAATAAAATGTGGACTTAGCATGAAATTTCAATTATACAACTTGCTTACAGTTTTGCTCAGAAGGTGCTCAGTCTCCCAGTTTTGTCTGGGAAAATCTGATCCTTTATATGTGTACTCTCTGCAGTACCATTGAGAAGTGCATACTTTTCAAAAGTTATTTGTGAACCTCAATGAAATGCAATAAGTAAAATTTCCCCCTCTCTAGATTGAAATTATTAATCCAATGATTCCAATTAATTTCAAACATTCTAAAATGGCCAATAGTATTCTTTTTAAAATGAGACAACACATCTGGGAAAAGCAGGGGAATTCCCCCTCTAAAAATTGGGGGTTTCATATGTTAAGGCAAGGAACTAAAATTTGATACAATTACTACAATTTAATTAAAATATAATATGCAGAAATATTAAACAAATAAATAACACACCAAATGAATTATTTTCCCCTCTAAAGTTAAATTATTGTCTTCAGACCTGTTTCTAAGACACATTTTTGATATAATTAAAATTGTACATCTATATGGTACCAATTTGGAATAAACTACTTCATTTACCATTTTCAGCAATCCACTAAGAACAGGCAAGTGGGGGTGACTGGTAGTAGAAATTACTTGATATAATCTATTATCCTCTTACAAATTTTTTTTTTGTAGGAGCCTTGGCTTTCAAAAAATGAACCATGGGGATCCCTTTGATCAATGTGTTGTGCCACCTCAATACTATGATGCACCAGTAAATGTGAAAGAGTCTATAAATCATAAAACTTGTTGACGGGTTTTCTTGCTCTTTTAACATTCCCCAGATATCTCTCATCAAGGGACAACCCCCCCCCCCCCCAAAACTAAAGACCAAATTCACAGTTTCCAGAAACCTCCTATCTGGAGACTTCAAACCTGGATCTAAAGCCACACTTTGAAGCTGATTATCATTCTCCTGAGGCCACCTCCAGCCCTGGCTTTCGTTGATGCCCTTCCATGTGGCTCACTCCACGATCCCATTGCAGCCCTGCAGTGCAGCAGGGCCAGTCTTGGGCTCCACATCCCTGCCCTGCCCAGCCATGGTGCCACAAGTCAGGGCCACCCCGGGGCCCATGTCCAGCCCAGCCTCAGCCTGTCACTGCTCCCAGGGACATGGCTGGTGCCCCGATCTGGGGCTGCCCCAGTCCCCATGGCTGCCCTGCTCCTGCCTGGGCCCTGCTGGGATGGAGGACACCACTTCAGAGCAGCCCGTGTGGCAGTTGTTTCTTCCAGGGGCTAAAGCAGAGCTAACACAGCCCTGTTTGGGCTGATGCTGAGCAGGGCTGGTGCAGCCTTTCCATTCTCTCTGATCACCCAGCAAACTGCTGGAGCTGGGACAAGCTGGGGGGGGCACGGCCAGGACAGCTGATTTAAATAGAGCAAAAGGGATTTCCTGTACCATGAAACATCATGCTAAGCAATAAAAAAATGGGGATGTGGTCTTCAAAAGTAGCCACTTATTGGAGAATAGCTAGGCATTGCTCTGCTTGGGGTGAGCAGTGTGCAATTGTCTTTGCATGAATTGGTTTCTTCCCCTTTCCATCACTTTTTAAACTGTTGTCTTCTTGCCCCATGCATTTTCTTGATTTTGCTCTTCCTGTTGTCTCTCCCATCCCATAGCAGGTGACTGGGAGTTAGTGAGTGGCTGTGTGGGTGTTTGACTGTGTGACAAGGTCAATCCACTGCAGGACCATGAGTTGGGACCTGCCCTGACAGGCCCTGGACAGCTCCCATGGCACTGATTCTGTGCCACGTGTCCCGGCTCTGTAGCTGGAAACACTGGTACCCCGAGAAAACTGTGCATAAAGCTTTTCCACTGCTTTTAGAGATATTTGATGGTACTGGTCTTATCATTTCTCTTGCTGTCTTACTGAGGCTTGTTTTTTTTTACTATTTTAAGCAGGGAAAAAAAAAAAAAGAAAAATTGTTAACAAAAATACAAATATTTCAACTTGCTTGAACTTCAGAAGATACAAGTTTAACATGTTTTATTTCAGAGATGTTGCTATTGCTATTTTTATTCTAAATCAGTTGCATATCAGTGTATCAGTATAGTGTGCACAGAGCAGATGACCTATAAATTCTAAACTTATCTTTATCCATAATTTTACAACTGCTTGTAAAAGGATGTAGTACAATTTCCACTCTTTCTATTTCATTGTGTGTAAAAGATGACATGATTGTAAATACAGCTGCTAATTTTCATAAGAATGGAAAACATAGTTATATATGAGCAAAAATAAAGAAAATTGTGGGAAAAAGTGGATATTATACTATGAAATAAATCACTATGGCAAGTAATATTCTATTTATATGCTATTTCTACAATATCTCAGATGGTGATTCCAGAAATGTAGAGGCTTCACCACAGAAGTAAATATCAAGAATCATGTGATTAACAGAGATGGGTCATTATGCATCCCTGAAGTAGCTTAACTGATTGTATTTAAGAAATTTATAGATTTCATCTACACACTGCTATATTAGAAATGTGACCCATTTCTAAAAACTGAATATCTGAAAAACACCACTGAACCAATAGAAATTATTCTTGTGTCATTTTTAATATACAAGCAGTATTTTATTACATTCTAAAAGCAGCTATAAAATTCCTGTCAATTTTCAGATATTGGAAAAGTTCTAAATTCATCTCCCAGAAGAGACTGAGGCAAAAAAATATTCTAAATTATCATTCAAAATCAAACTACTTTTTATATTGTTGAAAATTTCCAGAAAATAATTTAATGTTTTTATTGAATATGGGCTACATGGAAGGGAGATTTCTCCTGTTTGATTTTTTTATGTTTCCCTTATAGTTCATTATGATTTTTACATTAAAGTATTCAAGTAGCCATAAAGTTAGATCTGTTGTGTAACCCTTAATTGCAAAACTAACTTTTTTAATGTGATTAAATAAATAGCACTGATGTGATTTAACATGAAGGCAGCTAGACAATCGCTGCATGGGCTGTTTGCAATTTTAAGAAAAGAACAAATAGAAGAATATTGTGAAAGTAACAGAAATAGTTCCACATTTGACAGTATAGAGAAGCTTGCACAATATAATTAAGATAAGCAGTGTTTTTAATGCTGTCATGTAAGTTGTAAGTACTAGAATAATCTTAAAAAAATTCTTGGTTTTTTTTTTTTTTTCTTTTCATTAAGGAGCAAAAAGACCAGTGAAATTAATTACTCTTTACCTAGAAGTATTTCGTCTTCTCCTTAGACCTTTTTAGTACTTCTAGGCAGGTTGGATGATTCTGCTGAATTCTCAGATAATGTAGCCTTTGCTGTATTCCAGTAATAAATATTTTCAGCACTTTAATTTTTTTCCTTTACATTTATTCAAATATTTTTAATATTTTGGGGGGCTTTGGAGACTTCTAGAATCAGATTCTGTGTTCAGAGAAGGTCCAAGAGTATGTTATGTTAATTTGATTTCAGTGATTTTTGAAGTATTATTCTCTTTTACATTCTTGCCATATTTCTTTATTTAGTGGTGATCTCTGAGCAGGCACAAAAGTCTTTTATGCCTATTGCCAGTTCTTGGCTTCTTTTCTCTGCCTCTGTTGAGGTCAGGATTGAAGGCACTCGAGATGTTTTTTTGTGTTCAGACTTAGGTGTTTATTTTTTCTTATCTATGTTACAGTCTCACAGGCAGTGAGTTCTGCAGTATTTCACTAACAAGGTGCAAAATGGCTATCATTTGTTACAAGGTCTTTTAAGGCTAACCTATCCAATTAAAGAAATGGCACCTAAATTATGTTCACTTTTAACCCAGTAACGTATCACTCAAAGTCCACAATGCAGACTTTTCTGTCCAATTACAAAATACCACCCAAACCCATGCAGAAGGAAGAAGGTAAAGAAGAAGGATCAGCCTCTGCCCTAAAACCTCCACCTTTCTCCATATATATTACTATATTCTAAAATGTTAAACTCTTAAGTTTTACACCCTGTGATGTTACACACTTCTAATCAATCTACACACCCATAATCACAGCATTATCAATCAATTTTGGTAGCCTTCTCCACAGCCTCAGGTCAAATGCAGTGCTCTCTTGGGAGTCAGAGTCTATCAGCACAGAAAGTCTAAAATTCTCATCATCCAGAACTCCAACACCTATTTTATAATTGCAGAGTTCTCTTATAGGTAGTAATTTTATGAGCTAGTTGTTTACTTTGTGTGTCAAAATGAGTTTAAATTCATTGTTTTCTCTCTATTTTAAATCATAACTTTTGAAAGAAAATCCAACAATTAACTCACATATTTAAAGGTAAGTATATTTGGAATAGGAGTTTGAACTGATTATGAGATCACCTGGTCTATGTAAAGCTAGATTTTTTCAGTTTGTTTATTTTCATGTTTCTAAACCATGAAGAAATTGCAAAAACTCATGCTAAAGTAGAAAGTACTTCTGCAACACTTGGAATTTTGTAACTCTATGTACCTATTTTAGTCTCTCATTAGAGATTTAGAATTGTAATTTCAGATTCTTATTTTTTGTAACCCTGTTTGTTCTTATTATCTTTCTGATCAGCTCAGTGTTACCTGTGAGTTTACAAATGTCTTAGTTTTGCAACGTTTGCAATGTTTTGCAATGTATTAATCCTGAAAAGATTAATGTAGCTAAATGTCTACAGAACCAAGTACTCAACACATACTATACTGGGTTAGCTATGGAGGTGGTCTGCCAATAATATAAATAACAACATTCAGCTCCTCTTGGTCATAAATTCATATAGTAGATGAACACGAATTAAAGTAGAGGCTTACTGAATGCTAATTGAAACTCTCATGAATTTTGACACTCTGAAACTGTCTGAACTAAATTCATATGAATGCAAGCATGTCTCATTGAGTCATCTATTCTGAATGGAGCTGTTTGAAATGTTTTGTCAAATGCTTCATAAAAATAATAACACTGTCATGCCAAGAAATTGCAATGTATAGAATACCTGCAGGAACAAGTCCAAGGGGAAATAATGAGGAAAAACTACTTTATTGACTAAGAAATATACTTGGGTATCTCATTTATCTTAGGTACTTGTTACCCAGTAATTACATGTGTGATGATGGATAACCTGCAATAAACTTGAATATTCTTTAAATCAAATGAAGGATATTGCAATTTTCATGAAATTTCCTGATTATTTCCAGCTTTTCTTCTTGACTAGGAGTATATGGTTATTTGTGGGGTTTTAAAAGTAAAGCAGTCTGTAACAGTAACATTTCAAACTTAGACATGCTATGATAGTGCTGATAAAACTATAAATAATGTCAGCTGTCTGTTTAGATTCTAGTATTCCTTTGTAATATGTTTATTTTGCCTCCTTAAAATTCCTCTCAACATGTTTTTTGTGTTCTGAGCACTTTGCACACAGTGGTATTCAGACTGTTTCACTCTCTAAGTATGGTAACCTTTCTCTGACATACACAGGTAAAGAAAGCCTTGACTTATATAGGTGACAGCAGTTGTCACTATCACTACCTGCCTCTGCTGAAAAAGTCATATGAGGTTACACAGCATCAAAAGATGAAAGAGATATGTGGAATAATGGGAAGAAATCTGAAGTACTCACAGTAAATTTAATGGCCCAGCAGTGTCACCTTCATCCATCATTAATAGTGCAAAGATCCCCAACAGTTAAAATTAATCTTCAGGAATCAAAACAAATTATATGAGCAAATGAAAGTCCATTCATATCTCAACAGCTTTCAGGTCATAGCCTATGTCACCAAAGCCAGTGGCATAAACAGCAAATGAATCAGTGCTTATGCTTCTATGTTTAGCCACTTACATCAATAAAGGCTTCTCCTGCTGCTAACTGAGATGGAAAATATCCTTTCCCTTTGAAAAATTCAAGACCAAATAATGAACTAGCCTCCATTCTACTCTAAACCTTATTTTGAAGAAGTATGAATATCCCTTTGGAGTATCAACAGTAATGGGCCAAAACATGTATTATTTAATTATTTTCTTTTCAAAACAGCCATCAAAGTGCAAAGTATTTCCCTGGACATAAGATTAATCAAAGACCTGCAGTGCTTACTCTGTTGTGATCCTGTTAAAATGTACATTTCTTTATGAATTAACTTTATAAGTCCTTTGTTTCAGTTGTTTCAAAACTTAGGTTATTTCTTATTTGTACAATAATTAAATTGCAAAACTCAAATAAAATATTGAATGGACTTACAAGAAGATAAGTAGAAATGGAAACCTAAAAAATAGAAAGGCATGTCTTTAAAAATTGCTACCTTTTTATAAAGGGATGGGAGGACAAGTTAGTACCTAGAATTTCTTTACATTTCTTTTCTAAACCAGACATCAGATTTAAATTTGAAAAAGTTTAAGTACTACTATGTACTTTTATCATGTAGCTTTAAAATTACCTGTATGTAATGTTTTAAGCTTTAATTTTTGAGACATTTCTCATAGTAAAATAAAGTGTGTAATCTGTTTTACATATTCTAGTGGACATATTGTGTTCAAGTCATGTTTGCCATTTGATTGTTAAAATATAGAAAACATGAAATGGAGAATCCTAGAATGTGAGTCCCTCTATATCCTGAAAAGATGTGGTGCTAGAATTTCTAGAGTTCTTCAGTTCCATTTCAGTTGCTAATTCATAATATCTAAATTTAATCATATTAAAAAAAACTAATCTAAACCTAAGAGAAGTTGGGAGAAGATTAGATTATTAGATTTAATTCTTAATATTTAGATCATTAAGAATTAATTCAGATTGTTAAGATTAGAAAGAAACTAACACCAAGTTCACATTACTCCTCCAAAGGACTCTGAAGTTACATTTCATAACTAACAGAAGTCCCATTAGAGTCCTGTAAGTGTTGAGTGGAATCTCATCAAGTTATTAAAATTCTGTGTAACAGCTTAGAATTTTAAGACACTTGAAAATTAAACCTAAAATAAATTTTAAAAGAACCAAAACATGTTGATATCTCCATGCAAATCATCAGGAGAAATACTAAATTTTTAAAGGTGAATTATGTGCTACTGTGAACACAGAGAAAAAGAATCTGTGATTGAATTTCATAGTTTTTTCTAGTTAAGTTTCATTCATATAAACCAGATGTTTGACAGAAAAGTTTTTCTTTATGTTAATTATTTTAATTTATTCTTTCTGCTTTCTTCCTTTTGGTTGGGATGTGGGAATAGGACAAAGCTGTATAAGCCCTAGAATTTTAAATTATTCAAGTTACTATTAAAGTTACTATTATTTCCATATGCCAAAAGCCTCAGAGGTGCAACCTAGTCAAATCCTTCATCTATCTATGCAGCCACTCCTGTGCATTCCCCAAGAGCTAGGATTTTGCACTAAAACATATAAGCAAAAATGATACATATCCACATTGAGTTTTTCCTCTGTGTGAGTTCTTTTTTTTTTTTTCCCTTGAACATTGTAGGCTGGGTACTGTTTTTAAAAGAAAACAGATTATCACATCATATCATTAAGTAGAATTTTGGTAAAAACTTCAATCATTCTTGCTATTCAGATTTTAACAGCCTGTCATGTCAACAGGATTAGGTAATGAAATCAAAAGAAAAGAAAATACAGGTGTTTTCGTATTATTGAGCACACAGTTGATATTTTCCTTGATTTTAAATATTGCAGTCACATAGTCCTTTTCCAGTTTTATTGCCTCCCACTAGGGAGGCAATAACACAATAAATATTGCGTTATTGCCTCCCTAGTGCATGTAAACTCAAAACTGAATTTGGGAATACATCTTGATCTATTGATTGTAAGATTTTTTTCATATTGAGACATGAAGCTGAATGAGTGTGTTTGAGACTGAGTTCTCTGTGTTAGCATCTTGAGAAATAAAATTGGTTATGTAACTAACCACAGAGATTACAAAGACATTTCCATCATACTAGGAAAAGAAAAAGTAAATTATTTAACACCTTTTAATTCCTGTTTCCATAAAAATTTAATACTATTTGGCAGTCTCTTCTAAATGCTGGATATTAAATGTAGTGATGTGCTGGTATTTAAAAGATCCAGTAGAATAATGATGGGTGAAATCTTTTCAGTTTTTTTTTCATCTGAACATGATTTTCAAATAAAAAATGTTATTTTTTTTATATTATAGGTGAGCACACTAGACTGGGTACGAGCTGAAAAAATCTATAACCTCTGTGAGGTTCTATTTAAAATTCACAAGGTAGGTTTCCCAACGATTCCAGTGATTTTATTTAGTAAAGTTAACCTTTTCCTGTTGATGATAAGCTCAAAATTATCTTAATTAGGAATAACTAGTATTCAAATAGTTCATCTGTTCTTGTAAAAAGCTATTTGCAATTCCTAAGGCATTAGCTGTACAAGTATAAGAAAATATGGAAAATGGGTTAAGCTCCAAGTGAACAAGTTACTAACATGTTTTCTTATTGAAGAAAGTTTTCAGTATTAGAGCTGGATATGATACTTCAACATGAAGTATCAGTGAGACACACTGATAAGCATAATGATATTAGTTTTTTCTAAGTGGGTCAGATTTTCAAGCAAACATGATGAAAAATACTCTTGCTGTAATTCTTGATCCATATAAAGGTATTTTCATTTTAAAAATTAAAAATATAAAATTATATCCTTGTTGTATCATAGGTATTGATTTTTGTATCAAGTATTGTAGTGTTTTTTTCTTTATAAAGGGAAACATGTCAGGTTTGTTTCCCATAGAATTAATTTTTTTCCCCCAACTAGAAAAAGTTTGTTTTCTGTCTAGCTTGTTCCAATTAAAGATTTGCATCAAAATATTAGCACTTTATGTAAATAATTGACTTATGGAATATATTGTCTAATAAATTGCATCAGATAGATTAATTTTGTTCTCCAACTAAAACAAAACCTTTGCAGGTGAGATAAGGCTACTGTGAGAGCCTATTTGTCTAGGAGAGTAAAGAATATTTTCTGACAAAAAAACCTATCTTTTCAGATAAAATAGTATTTCAGTGAAAAATTAAAGCTCATCTTTAGTTCTCACCAGCTGCTGCCCTTCTCTGCTGTTTCTCTTTGACCACACACTGATGTGGTGGAAAAGGCAGGTTGTTGCTGTTACCTGTAACAGATCCTGCACTGAAGCAAAAGTGCTTAAGGTTTTTATATGGTCTTGGTCGGGGTTGTTTGGTTTGCTTTGATTTGCTTTGGTTTGCTTTGGTTTTCTTTGCTTTGCTTTGGTTTTGCTTTGGTTTTGTTTGGGGTGTGTAGGTTTTTTTTGTGTTGTAGGGGTTTCTTATTTGTTGGGTTTTTTTCTGATGCAGGCTATTCAGGACATGGGAAGGAAGTGTTTTGGCACTGCCATGCCAGGAAAACAGTAGTCCTGGAGTTCAGGAATAGAGCTCAGATCCAGAGGCACAGGAGAGCCATATTCTTGTAGTCATGGCATTATTTTTGTGTGACCATGTCTCCAGCTGGGAACATATGGGCACATTCAGGTCCTTCCCATCACTAACATACCAACAAAATTAGATGTTCTGTCACAGATCGTTTATTTACTCTCTTTCATATTTTTTATAATTTTATTTTTGGCTCATAAAGAAGTCAGGCACCAATGAAATATATAGACATTATGCCTTTTGGGAAGATTTTCCTGCGGCTTGGGTTTTTGTTTTGGTTTTTCTCCTATAATTGGTACTGCTAAAACTCAGTTGTTCCTGGAATATTACGGTAATTTCAAGGATATTCTGTCTTCCTGCAGCTTCTGCAATACTTTTTCATTAAGAAAAAGAAGTTGGGAAATAAACTACTCATGGTTCAACTCTTTAATGTTCTTGACATTTTAATAAATGAATGCTTAATTGCCAGTCTTCATGAATACGTAAGCTAAAGTGCAAAAGCTTGAACTGAACCCCTTAACCTCTTTTCTGTTGATTCTTTGGTATAAATGACAATGAAACAAACAGAACAAATCCAAAAAATTGTAAGAGATTAAGGTTTCTGCATTAGATATGATACACTTATGTTGTAAAAGCTGCCATTTGGGGAGGGGGTTTTTAAGGATTTTCAGAAGCTGGTTAGAACTAGTGCAAAACTGTGGGAGAGTGTGTTTTGTATCTTCTCACAAAATATGGATTTTAAGGAGAAGTGTTCTTGTTACACACCTAATTGTAAACTTCTCATCTATGTTTATTATGATGCAAGAGTTAAACAGGGAAAATATCAATCCAATATGGAACTTAAATTTTAAAACAGAATGTTTGATATATTTTAGATTTGGATGTATGTATACATAAATATAAATACACAAATATGTGAATTAAAATTCATATATATAATATGCCTTTGCATATTTCTGTTCATTTGGTGGTAACAGCCAGATGATTTGAAATGTAATGTCTTGCATTGCATGTGTTTATTCTTACAGCTTGTCTCATAATTCAAACTCTTACTGTAATCCTGTACATTTTTAAAAGTCATTTGTCTTAAAAACATTTTATTTTTTCTTATTTTCTCATATATTCACATGAAAAACTAAAAATAAATGCTAGTATAGTAGTCTAAAAGCCATGATATGCAGCACTGAGTCTTGAAGCAGATGTAATACCTGTCACTCCATAGCTGCTGAACAACAGAATATATGCAGGAATTTTGTTCAACTTCCTTTTCAACAGTGCAAAGGAATGTTGTAAAATAACTGAGCTGCATCAAGTCTGTTCTCTCCTCAGGCAGTAGCAGGGCCAATTTTGACAACACAGTGCTTTGTACCCTGGTGGCAATATGTGGTGCGCCCAAGATGCCCCATGAATCATTGCTAATTTTTTTGGGGTTTCAATCTTTTCTGCCCCATGATATCACAGAGAAATGGGGATAGGGAAGGATTCTATCTGAAAAACAGAAAAATAACAATATGTGTAATTTGGAAATTCAAGCTGTGAAAGCACTTAGATGTATAAGTTGCAGCTTTTTAATTTAGTTTTATTTTCCTCTATATTTTTGTTAATCAATAAGTCTTGAAACATTAGGGAAGTTTCTTGTACTAATTTGTTTACATTTACCATACATTGTACTGCAGGTATATTTTTTATTATGAAAGTTTAAAGTAAAGTTTCTCTGCTTTATCTTGAAGGTGATGGCAGGATCTTGTTTCAGTCTCCTTGTAGTTAAAGAACAGCATTGACAGCTATTGGAGGACATGCTCCTGTTGTCATTTCTAGAATTAGCTGTGGGGTGCTTGATAAATTACTGCATTCCTTGGGTTTTAGCATATTGGAATCTAAGTAGAATGGAATAATGCGAGTCTCCTGTAGAGCTGGTACACAGCTCCTGGAATGTGTTGAAACACTCAGGGATTTCCTTCTTTTTTCACTGTAAGCAATGTATTTGTACAAACTTCCTTTAAATTATACATGTTTTCCTTAGGTAATTTTGACAGTATTTTGGAACTGCAGGAGTAGCTTGGATTAAAAGATAGGGAATAAAGCAAATAAGAAGCAAAGAGAGAGGCTGTCTTTGAGATAATTATTTAACTCCTAGAACATTTCTTCAACACGATTGTTGACATAATGGCGTAGTATATCCAAATACCCACCACTTACAGAAGACAGTGTTGCTTCAATTATTTGGTTTTGCCAGATGAAGAATCACATACTGAAACATATCTTTCAGCTCTGGCTTGCTGATGATTGCTGGCTACAAGCAAACTTGTATTTAGGTATTCACCAGGACTTTGATCTTGAGGACCAGAGGCCGTATTGTTTCAGTGTTATGGTTGGACATGGCAAGAGCCACTATTTCAACGTAGAGCTGGGCAGTGAATTGGCAGTGTGGGAGAAATCATTCCAAAGAGCAATTTTCTTGGAAGTTCAAAGAACAGGGGTAAGTAGCGAACAATTTAAGTCATTTAATCCGCAAAATAAGTATAAAAAGATTTTGAATGATTTGTATGTTTAATAATTTCATTCAATTGATGTCCTCCATGACTAAGGATCTGAGTACATTTAATACAATGAAGACTTCTGAAAGCTTCATCATCACATCAATATTTTTCTGTCAATGACTGTGTAATACCAGTCAATGAGCATGTTATGACAGATTGAAAATTGAAAGTAATACTTTGTAAGTTCACCTTGATTATTAAAAACTGGAAATTAATATATTTACCACTGGAAAACTCTCGGGAGTTTATTTAGTCCAACTTGAACATTTTCTTACAGAAAGCTAATTTTCCTCTCACATAAGGTAAATATGATATGGTTTACATAATACTTCTGTAGTCAAAGAAATATTTTGCTCTTATATTGTTAATTGTGAATTGGGATTGTCCTTGTTAACATTGGAAGAGTTTGAAGACAGTATAAAAGTGAAAAGAAGTTTGTAATAGTCTTGAATTCTCAAAATTAAACAGCAGATTTTCGCTTTCTGCTGTCTAGTAAATCTAGATCCATACTCTCAAGTGAGCTGGACAAACGTTATGGGAGTGTATTCATTGAGACTATAGACCTCCTCCAATTAAAAATATATTTGTACAGTTTAACACAAATGCAAACTTGATTTGGTGTGCTCAGGTTTCCAGTGCCCTGTGAGCCTCCTAAAGACATTCGAAACACTGAGAACAGTGGATCACAGCTTTGTATTAACACGACTTGCAAGGAGCAGGAGTCCTGTCGGAGGTGGTTAATCAGCTTGTCTAAATTTCCAAATCTCTGGGATTCTAAACAGGTTTCTGGGTTCTTACAAGGTACTTAATTGTCTCTTTAGACTGATGAAGGAAAAAAAAGATTTTGTAACAGTTCCCAATACTGAATTCCTGAGAAGGAATGCAGTTCTTCAGGAAAATATTGATCCTTATATATATTATCCATATAAAACCAGATAACATAATTGAAATTAAGTATAACAAGCACGCAGATTAGCTGGCTCTTTATCTAATTAAATTTCTGAATATTTATTGTTAAATCTCAAAGCTTGCTTTTCCTTTACATCCTTAAAATTAAGGAATGATTCTTTGTTTGTGGAATGATCTTTTGTCATTTGAATCAGTCATCTAGACTCATTTCACACAAAAGACATTAAATGTCCTGCAGCTGTGGTTTAACCTCTCTGAAACCTCCAGGAAAGTAATTCAAATAAAATCTTGATTACAGTACTCAAGTCTCCATATGTGTTTCCTATGTCTTCATTTTCTCTCACATTGGACACATCCAAATTTACTGTAAACTACTATGTCAGTAGAGTTCAGAGTACTATGGTCAGTCTCCAGCAGTGAAAAGTCTTTTTACTGCACTGTTTTCTTTCTCCATTCAAAGCATAAATTCTGTTGTGAGTGCCTTTCTTTTCAGAACGATGTCAAGAGCAGCATGAATGAGGTGCAATTTAATATTACATAGAATATTTCAAGTCTTAGAAAAAGAACTGGCATTCCAGTACCCAGAAAATTCAAGCTTTTCACTGGTATGTCAGTCTGTAAAAGTTCTTTCTTTTGGAGAATTTTCGAAATTATTTTTTATTCATAAATGATTGGGCAAGATTCATGGCAGCTGTTGGATTGCATTGTGCCATTTCAGCCATTCTTATTTAAATGGAGCTTGGTCCTGTTTGATGTCGAGTATATAGGATCTTGCCTATGAGTTTTTGTTAACTCTTTCCTGTACATACCCTTTGTATTTGGTGTTTCTATAATAAGAGCTGTATTTCTGAGCAGATTCTGTCCTTACACAGTCTATGAAGAGAAATGCTAAGGTGCAGTGGTCCTTTTGAATTTTATCTGCTGGTGTTGTGTCATTTTTTACAATTCTTTTGAAAATGGCAGCAGCAGTAGATGACAGAAAGAATGCAATAAAGAAGGAAGAAACACCCCTCACAATATTGCTCCCCTTTTAGCTATCTTAAATCCCTATTTCTAGCTGCAATTGTTTACAAAAATTTACCAAGAAATTCTGAAATTCAGTGACCCTGGTGAAATTAATCTATTTGCAGACAATGGTAACAAACAAACAGATGTTGAATCCATGTACTAGAAACACATGGGGTTTTTTCCTAGAAAAACTATTGTAGTTGCTGATGGCATAACTTGGATAGATGGGGGCAATAAAAATGCAGGAGAAGTGAGGCAGAAAGGCAATTGAAAGAGAGAAAAAGTGTTGTTGAAAAGTATTTCCATGAGGCTGGTAATAAAAGTCAGCATTGCAATAGTGGAAGATAGGCAATGAAATCCTCTCAGTCATATATTGAAGTTAAATCATCTCCTGCAAATCCCAGCATGAATGCTTGTTTCACATGGAACGTCCTAAACAGTGCAAGATGAATAAAGGATGCTCATATTAGGTAATTTTTCTTTTCTTTTTTTTTCCAAGATTTTTATGGTGCAGAAAATCTTCAAAAATAAGACACTAGTACATTTTCCAGAGCTCTTACTAATTCTTTGACCCTTCAGCTTGGTCTTGTCAGTAGCATAGGATATTATTCCACATTTTTTTCAATGATGTCTTTTTTTAATTTCTAAATCAGTATTCTTGCTTTGCCTCAGACTACTTTTTCCAAAGGAAATTATTTTGACTCATCTGAGTCTTGGATATGGATATTAAATTAATGCAGAAACATCTCAAAGGGATGATTTGGATCAGTTGTGTTCAGTAGGAGGATGGAGGAGAATACTGGAATAGTGGACAGAGGAAAGAGTGACAGTAATGTATTTTACCGTCAGCTGTAGAAAAATTGGACCAACAGTTTTGTCATCTTGAAACCTTGTACATGTAAGCTTTGTTTGATGGCTGGAAGAAGATAGAGGAGAGAAATCTTTACAAATGAAAGAAGTATCAGGAGACTGAAAAAAACCCATGCAGTGGGAAAATAATGTACCACAGTGTTTCTAAAGTACCTGCAGTGGGTATATAGTGATAAGACATGGTTGCATACTCTCCTCACTAGCAATTCTAACACAAAAGAAAGTTTTCCCTTCATACTTCCAGTTGTGATGAAGATGCTGCAAGTTCTTTCCAATCCTCATACAGCTGAATAACCTACTGTATTGAAACCATTTTTGTTGCTTGGACAAAATATTTGTTTAATGTGAGTTACTCCAAGAATTAAAATAGGCTGGATCCCATTCAGTTATAACAGAATAATCAAGAAGTTTTGGTGCCTCATTATTTTCCATGCTTAAAGGTAAGTACTTCTAGTTAACTTCTTTCCATTTTGTTCCATGATTCAGTGACTAATATCAACAGAGAAATAAACCCTTGAAATACAATTATTAATTATTTTTTTAAGTCAGGGATATGAATATATATAGAAAAATGTTAGCAGCAAAATTCATATTCCTGGAATGATACAGGCTCCTCATGTGAAGAATATACATTACTATAAATCAAAGTAATACTAATAAAATCAAATAAATAAATACTAATAAAATCAAAGTAAATAAAGCAAGCAAAGTAAACAAATGAAGATTAATGAATGTTCCAACTTATTTCAGTTAACACAATTGGAAATCCAAAATAATTTTATAATGAACATAAACGTATGATGCATTTTTCCTGTGTTTTCCCTCTTTTAAAATCAGTTAACATAAATCACATATACTGTGGATGTTTTATGTTTTTGTATGCATTTTTAATATGTCTTTATTTTCTGAGAAGTTAATACCAAACCATTCTCTATAGAAGGATTCTTGATGCTGCTTATATGACTCAGAACCATTGTGACTCAGAATTGCTCTCAGACAGATTATGTCTGTTCCTGGATAAAGCAAAAATAATTATTGGGAATAATTGTGCATGCAGACCTAGAGCTTCGTTTCTATGGGATTCCCACATTAGACTTTTAATTTTATTTCTCCAAATATTGTGCTGCTAAAACACCATGATGAAAATTCCTAAAAATTATATAATAGATAAGCACAATTGATAATTTTGTTTTGTTTTGTAAGCAACAATTAGTTGCTTTTGCATATTAGTTATTCCAGCTAGTTACTGTTTTCCTCTGTGAACTTGAGTCTTCCATGCTTAAAAAAGGTGACAGACATGAGAGTGACATAGGTTACACAATGCTTAGTTGACCATCTTCCTGTTCCACTTCAACATTTCCCCCTAGACACTCTGTCTTCTTCTGGCGGATTGGTACAAAGTACATAAGGAATCAGCAATCATGTTGTTGATGATTAAAACCAACCAATCAACCAAAAAGTCACGTAACTATTTTGAAGAAATGGTTAACTCAATAACCTTTCCTCAGCTTTATATGTCTTTGCCTTTTTGCTTGATGGACTATTTTTCATTAATTATCTGGTCCTTGTTATCTTTGGTATCCTCTCTTCTATCCATCTTTTAAATTTCTTTATAATACTTTGTCATAGATTTTGCTAGTTCATCAGTTTGAATTCATTTCTAATGTATTCATAATATGTTCATTTGAGAAAATGATTTTTTTTTCCATGAAATAGATATTGTTCATTGTACAAATCCTTTCAGAATACTGTTGACAGGTGTTGATTTTCACCTCTTGGCTTTCTAGTAAAGATTTATGGCTTTAAAGTTTCTTTTTTAAAACTTGTCCATGTAATGCTTCCTTCTCATCATTCCTTCTCAGCTCAGGAAATAATCAGTGCAACCTCCTCATTTCAACACCTGCTTGCTGTTTGTTCTAGACCATTACTTGATTTTAGATGCTTATCTTTGTTTAAAATCTTCTTAAAGGGTTCACTACAATTAATTTAAGACATAGAGAAGTGAATAAGTTCTTTCCAATTGACTTCAACAACATTTCACGGAAACCACTTTTTTTGGTCATAATTTCCCTTTAAAAGCATTCAGTTGACTATATTGTACAAAATAACAGTGTAATAGTGATTGTATGCATACATGCTACTTACTAGCCAG